ACTGCAAAATGTCGATACAACATTGCAAGTAGGTTTTTTAGAACACACTGCATAGTACAACTAAGTTTTAAAAAATTTATTTCATCTAAAATATAAAAATATAATGTTTAAAGTACATTTTTCTTGAATAAAGTATAATAAATGTTCTTAATGAAAAAAACGAATGGCATATTATTTTTTCATTCACTTTGTTGTATTTCTCGAACGCATTCGACAGTTTTGTAAACTGAACAAAATAACAACTTATGCAAAAGTTTCAATAAATTTCATAATATAATTGCTTTGACTTACGTGCGTTATGTTTTTTCTCTACATACATAATCTACAAAATATATTATATCAAATCCCAATGGAATTCTTTGCTTCGTACATTTTTGTTTTAGTGCGCTTCTGAGAATTTGGATTAGCTATAAACAAATAATGTTTTTTTTGTCGGTTCACAAGCATTTTTCAAACAGCTGATTGAAAAACATGCCACAATTTATCGATCAGAAATCGTACAAACTTTGTACTTGGAAATTAAAAGTTGACATTTAGTTACACGCAGCTTTTCTTAAACCAATAAGCCTCCAAAACACGATTCTTGTATTCGACGTTTTTTAAGTAAGAACTTATTTACTTTTAAACTTAAGTTCGAATTCCACTCGCTTAACAAGTTTTTGCTTAATTAAGCCACGTGTGCTTTTTTTTATCGATCGTGCAATAAAAACCAATTTCAACCTAAAAATATACATATTAATTATTTAATATCTTTTGTATCCAGTCTTAAGTTGCTCACAATTGGTATTGGCCGTCGAAAACCGCCTAGAGTTCATAATAATACATAATATTTAATTGCACCAGTTAAAATCTCAGTATAATTTATATTTCAGCGTTTTGTACAAATCATATTTTGCAGGAAATCAATCAATATTAATAAAAACAACAATTTCTTAAAACTATAAAACATTTTAAATATCTAAGAATAATTATTGACACATTTCTATAGTTAATATAAGAATTCTCGCTAAAATTGTAGTTTAAAATATTTGTCCAATATTAAAAAATATTATTTTAAACAATTATTGAAAAGAATTATTTGTTTTTAAAATATTTTTTTTTAAAACTTAAAAAATATTATGTAGTTTTTTTAACGATCTTTGAAATTTTTTCAAGGATGTTCCGGATGACGAGAAAAAAAAATAGAAGATGCATCTAATAGTTTTGTTGAAGGCCAGTAAAATTTATTTTTTTAGATTCTGTTTAGGTGCCGTCGATCGACGATAATGATTTTCAATTTTGCTGTTAATTTGTAGAAGTAGTTCAAACTCGTTTTATTTAAGTTTTCACATCTGCAATACTTTCCGTTTGTGTTAATTAGTTACTGTTCATTTAAACATTGATTTCTTTGTACACGTCCTATGTTTTAGCTTTGCTGCGGAGCAGAGAAGGTATTGTTTTTGCAATGATGTGTTTATATTTTTTTTTTTTTTGTGTCTGGACCCACGATATTTCGTAAACTGCTCAACCGATTTCTTTGTGTAGCAACTCTATAGATCAGAAATCATACCTGAAAAGTACTTTATTGGGCCAAAATTGAGAAAAACGCCCAAAAAAATTACAAATTTTTCAACTTAAAATTACGATAATCTATAACTTTTTTAATAATAGTCGAAAAAGTTCCAAACATAGTACTATCGATAAACATTAACAAACCAAAAAAATATCATAAGCCCTTTCCCCTAGAAGGGATAGAATTTTTTTTTTTTTATTTCACTTTTTCAAGCAAAGTTTTAAAGATTTAGATCTGAAAATTAGACCGAAGGTAGATCTAAAATGGAACTATAACATTTACAATTTTCTCAAAAATTTGTAGACAAATTTTTTTTTTATTAAGAAAAAACCCCCAAAATGGGATGAATTTACGATGTATGGATAACTATGACAGTATATTTTTATAGACAGACGATCAACCCTTATCGTTTCCACCCTGCACAAGACTAAATATTAAATTGTAAGTACATCATTGCTGGTTCTTACAATGTCTTCTAAACCACTACAACTGGTTTGAACATACTATCCACAGAATCGCATCGAAGCGTTCATTTAAAAGTGATTTTATCACTTTCAGTTGTAATAAAATCTGTAGACCTGTGACCTCTCCGTCCCCTCTATGCCCCGGCCCACTGTACTGGCTTTTTTTTTTATTTTACTCGATTGGTTATCCATATTGGTTACCAAATAGGATTAAGGCTATCGGTGTTGTATAAAGCCAGTACAGCATTACAAATATTTCAATAAGTCAGCATTGTATTAGACTTAAAAACATTTGGCTTGGCAAATAACTTCCAAATCATTAATGCATGATTATGTTTGTTTAATATTTTTTTAAGGACTGTCTTCGTGAAATCAATAAAAATCATGAAAACATAAGTTTTTGAGAAATGTAAATATTTTTCTTTCCAATAATTATTGAATTTATTTGTATATTGATATATTTGAATGGAACGTAACAGCCAACAGGTATTATAGCTTTATCAACAACTACTGACAAAGGAAAGATTGTTGTCGATTAATAGGATTACGAAACAAAAATTTTATTAATTAACAGCTCTAATGAGGTCATGCACAAACCAACTTCTATGTATTTCAGCAGTTCAAATGTTTATAAATAACTGCGAGTACGCCGTGTTTATTATGTCTTCAATAATTATAGTACAATAATATTAATATTTATTATTTTAATCAATTTTAATTATTTAATTTAAACTGAGGAGGTTTTTTTTGTTTTGTTTCCTTATTTATTTTAGAAAAACAAATTATAATTATATTGATAGTTATTTCTGAAATAATATAACCGTGTAAAGTACGCACTGACTATTTGTTAGTTTTGAATAACATCTTGTGTAGTAATTATAATTGCGAAAAAGAGTCTAATTACAGCGTAGCAGTATCAACTAAAATTGGCAGTCGGAAGTGTCGTGTTTTACATACACACACACACACACATGATATGTTTGTTGTGAAATGGTTATGCAATATTACAACCAGGAACAAAACAATTAAATTTTTGTGGTTATCACCTATAATAAAATATATATAGTTTAATACTAATGGGATAATTATTTCTACTAATTAATGTCAACTCTTTTATGTTACCCTTTAGATTAGAATGTTAGATAGAGTACAATTAAGATGTTTGATTTAATACTACTGTAAGGGTGGATATAAAATAGTCCAAAAACATATCTGTATTTTTTTTAACTATAAAACAGACCTGGGTAAAAAAAATCGTTATTTTAATAAAACGCTTTGAATAAATCGAACTACTGAATTTAAGAACACATTTTTAAACATAGTAGGACATATTTTAATTTTGAAGACTCTTTTTCATAAAAGGAATAAATTATATATTATAAAAAAAAATTAAGTTATTTAAGGAAAAAATGTATCGGACGGTTCCGTATTGGTTGTCAAAACATAAACAACAAACCTAAAAAAAAACATTTCTACTATGACGTTCCTCATTAAGCTATTACACTTAATAATAATAATACACAACCTATTAGGGATTTTTTTGTTTTATTTTCAAAAAAAACAAAAATACTTCACGATTTATTTTCATAATTGATAACAACAAATTAATCTTGATTAAATTAGTTATTAATGGTTAATTGTAATCATAATATGATTAATAATTTAATTTCTTTAACGTTTCCCAAGTCTTCATTACAAATATGTAAATAATAAATTGTATATATGTATATAACAATTTTACTGGTTTAAGTATCATATTCAACTCACAAAAGCCCAAAGCTCTTATATAGTTTTCCAGTCAATTTGATCTGATAAATTAGTTTAATAATTATATGTATACATACAGGGTGATTCTTTTATCATGAAACACTCAATATCTCAAAGGGTTTAATAACAAATTAAATTTCTTTTAACTAATTTCTATTACATTTCGTTTATATTTGATTAACTTTTTAAATTGAGAATAATTTACTAAAAATGTTGACTGGTCGATAACCAGTTTCGGATAATTATTTTTTAAGTTATAAGAGTTTTAAAGTTAAGATTGTAGTGGAAGTGCGGCTGGGAAATGCCCACGGTTAAAAATGAAAATACACTCCACCTCTCCTTCTGCCCTAAACTTGAAACTTCAATAACTTCAAAAATAGTTATCCGAAAATGGTTATCGACCAGTCAAAATGTTTAGTACAATATTCTCAATTTAAAAAGTTAATAAAATATATACGTTACCACTTAAGTTTCAAAAGTTGCTATCAAAAAAAATAAGTTGGGACGGGGATAAAAACAAAAAAAAAATTGTGAAAAATTGAGATCACATTGTATAACCACAATATGAAGAAAAAAATGTAACTTCTTATTAAACCCTATGACATATTGAGTGGTTCATGATAAAAGAATTGCCCTGTGTATATATTTTTTTTTTAGTCTACGGCCTTGGTGGTCGGTTTGAACAAACAACTCTTGCTCTACTAGAGACGAGCGTTGCCATCCTGGGGAAGTGATAATGGTGCGATGGTTTCCCGTTGCCTTCCGCACCAGTCGGGTTTACTTTTCTGAAAATTATTACATTAGTATTACTACTATTATACTAACATCATAATGTTTTACTGATTACATTTATTAATGGTAATCATTTATCAAATTACCATTTTCTTGATACTGAAATGCAGGCACGTAATAATTGAATTGACTTAAATGATCGAATAATAGCAGCCAGTACACACCTGCACAAGTGTACCACGTCTAAGTAGAACAAATGCAAATGTTGTTTTCCAAAATAAGAAATTTGTATAATGTTATACTGTGACGTGGAAAACAAATAAACTAAAAATGAGTGCGTTTATTACTCCGTTGGATTGTTTAAATTATTTATTATTTTACGTCCGGATTTCAATCCATCAATGTTTATAAGCGCGTGCAAAAAAAGAAACAGCAAACAAAATAAATAAAATTCTCTAAAAACGCTGACGCACAAAAACGGACAGGAGTTTTTTTCTGTCTGGTCTGACGGACAATAGTTACACTCGTCCAATGTTGTGTTAGTAACGCGATGGGTGTCAATTAAAATATTAAAACCAAACAGAGACCGGAATCGTAGTTTTCGTTTGCCTTGAATACTTTATACTTTTATCGCATAATTAATTAAAACCGAAAAAAATATGGATATCACATCGTACACAGTGGTTCTGCTGTTAACTGTGTTATGCGGTCTTCAGGCTTCTGGAGAGGAGTACAATAATTACACCAGTAAGTTACATCATTATAGTAATATTATGTTATACGGCCGCGAGTAATTAGGTAAAACTATTTATTATATTTTCTTTTTACTAGCATCGTGTTTTTGCGCTGGGATTAAACACCTTATTAAAAAACGTTGGAATGCATACAAGAAAATGGAATAGCAAAAGACGTTTTCTTTTTATTTATGATTAGGCTAAAAACTGTCTATGTTTTAAAATTAAAACAAATAATAATAATTTTAAATCAAAACTTAAATACCTCCGCTAATTGTATTGAGTAATATAGTAGAAGCAAATAATTTAATATGTACAATGAAACTTCAGCATAAATACTAAATCAGCATTTTTTCTATGACTAAAAAAAAATTGAGAAACATTAATTCCTATAAATAAATCAAAAATACACAGCAGTAGCTGAAGTAATAAATAATAATATATATATTATTACGTTTTATTAAAGTCAGAGGTTTTACGTTTATTATAAAAGTATTTCTTCAAGTATAGATTAAACTAGTATTTTTATTAAAGTTATCAAAGAATGTTAAGACTACCGTTCGGATATTTGGCCCAAAGCAAAGATAATAATATATTATGCAGAAAACAGATTTAAAAATTTTGCAAACAACATTTTAGTTAAACTATTTTACTATTTATGGCATACTTTTTTGAGCGGGGGGCATGATGTAAGAACATTTTAAACGAATAAGGCTAAGCATGAAATAAAACATGATGTTAAATTAAATCCCCACTTTAAAGAGTGAATCATTATGTTTACAAATTAAATAAAAATACATATTAATTTAATGTTTTGAACCTTTAAAAAAACGCAAATTATAAGTTAGTGATCTGTTTAACAATATTAATAAAATAACATCTAATAGGAAAAAAATTAACACCGTGCTGTCTAAATGTAATCATCATGCATTTTATTGGATCAGACACTTTTTTTTTAATCATAATTAATTTTAAAAAGTTATAGAATACCTAATCTCCAAACTAAATTTTAGCCACGGGGGAAATTTATACCGTAATAATGTCGTAAATTTAAGTAACATTCAGTTCGATTAAAATTAATGCAGGTAGAAGTTCAAATAACTTTTTAAAAACATCATATTTTCGCCGTAATCTAAACTTAAAGTTTGCTAAAGGGTTTTTTTAATTCTGTTTACTTTACATTAGTTTAAAAACAGTTTATACAATATTTAAATACGCCTTAACTCCCTTAGGGAATTTCTGATACTGATATTTATTTCCAAACTTATTGGAAGTATTTTTGGACATCATATCAATTATTATTATGAGTACGGAACGACGATTTTTAATAATTAAACGAGAACTTAAAATATTGTTAATGTAATTTTACACAATGATAAAGTTTTAGGTTTTGTATAAGTGGTATAAGTACATTTCTAAAGATTTAACTTTTAATTATTATTTTAAAAACTTTGTAGTCATGTGAAAAGTTAGGTTTATCTCAAATTCACCTAGAATATTTTTTTTTACTTTTGTTCAGTGCTTAAAAAGTTATATAATGGTAAAATGCTAGTAAAAAAAGACTTACCCGATTTAAAAAAAAGACAATTTTTTTAAATTTATCAGCTTTTTTAACGGATAGGAAACAAAGAAATTTGTATGTCCTTAAAATTAAACTAAATATCTGTACTATAATAATCTACAATGCAAAAATTAAAACAAATAAAAAATTGTAATTTTACTATTAACAAGCATAACTTATAAATTTTAATATTTAAAACGAGCTAAAATGTTCACAAATAAATATTTATAGATCATTTTAAGGTACCATAAATAATATTTTACATGATTCAATTTTTTTATCGCCAAATTTCTCATAGCATTTCGATGGTGCTCGGGAAAAACTGGCTAAGTCTATAATTTGCGAAAATGAGAAATTGTAAGGTGTTATGGATGAAACGATCTAAGCCAAATAACGATTTTATCAGTCGTTATACGTTTGTGAAAAATAGGACATTATCATATTTCTTATTTGCGTTTGAATTTTAATTTTTGAATACTAAAAATTCCAAATTATAGACTTAGCCAGTTTTTGCCCAAGCAACATTTTTCACGAAAATAAATTAGGGGTGTATCCTATTACTATTATGATACTTTCTTTTGAACTGAAAATGTAATGATAAAATGTTATTAATTAAACTATAACTAAATAATACTGTTGCCGGTATTATAATAAAATAAAGCTGGTCAGTTCTGTATAATATGTGAAGCTATAAAACAGAATTTTTGCATTTTAGATACAAACGTTATAGTGTATAATGCCATGGCGTTATTTAGTTAAGAATGGAGAGAAGAAAATGGACAACGAAGAAAGAGGGATAATTTTAACCTCTTTTACCTAAAGCTCAAAACCTAAAGACCTATACATAACATGAAAAAAATATATCGAAAAACAAACGTATACAGACAAAAAATTAAAATTAAAATAACTAATAATATTATAAAAACCTAGTTAAAATGTAATTGTGTAACACAATATTTTATTTACGTTTAACATAATCCAACACGTGGAATAATATTAAAAATATCATTACTAATTTTATTAATAATAATTTTCTTACAATTATTATTACCATTTACCTGTTTTTATACATAGTTTTATAAGTATACAACTATGCATAAGAGGCACGTGCAATTGGCTTCCCTTTTCCTCATCTACTATACTACCTTGGACACTTTATGTATAAGTTCTTGGATATTTCAACTCTATAAATTGAATGTATCTCATTTTAGTAAACTTTACTTCATAAAGTTTGGCATGCAGAAAACTTAGTTAAAGATTTGAATAAAAAAATGTGTACACATAAAAAAGTTAATAATAATAAAAAAATATTTTAATCTCTCGTTTCAGAAATTGTATTTTATAAATATTAAAAAAACACCAATAAGTATTAAAACTGAATGATATGAACCCAAAGCAAATCATTTCAAACTTTAATCACATTGGTCATTGTCAATATTTGTAGTTTTAAATTATTTTTTATTAATATATTTTTCAGGCGAAGAAGAATTAATTCTGCAAGCTATGATCAACAAATTTGTTTACAATTACAAGTCTATAGGTGTTCAACCATCTACAAAACCGTCGACACACATACAACGTATTAGTAAAAAACGTCAGGATAACAGTCCACCAATTGTTCCAAGTTACCCAGAATCTGCGGCCCCTATTCCATTTCCAATAAACCCATTTTTCACAAATCCTCATTACCATCACGCTGTATACACTAATTATGTACCGCTAACAACACATGTACAAGTATTACCCATGCCGGACTTAGTATATCCCCAAGAAGAAAGTCACCACCGCATTTACGTACCCTTAAGTCAACCTTATCCCTATAGATACGAACACATTCCGGTATCACAAGGCTTAAAACCGTCAAGTTATTTAACACCGGTAGAACCAACATACACTCCGGTGATTGTGTCAAACGTCAACAGTGCTGAAGATGACAAAACCGGAGGCATAGAAGCACCTGCGGTGGACATTCCTGAAGTGACCGGAAATCAACATGCAGGAAATAACATCCATGTACAAACTTTAGAACCCCAGACAGAAAACACTGTTCCTATGGAACCAAATCCTATTGAAGAAGATAATAAAAATCCGACGAGAATCGGTAAAATACTTGAAACAACTCCACAGCCTAATCTCTCGAATACTGACCAACCGCCAAGTGAAGTACATCAGTCGGCACCGTCTAACATTTTCGAATTAAACGTACCGCTTCCGTCGCCGGCATCAGACAACACGAAACCAACTGTCAATTACCAAGACCTTCAAACGCCAAACGAATTAGATGGGAAAATGCAATCGCCTAATCTAACTACTCCCGAAATCTCATTAACAACACCGATGTTTACTACTATATCGTCGATTAGTTCTGAACAAAGTACAAAACACGAGACGACTGGACTAGAAAATGACAATGTAAGCACTACGACCCAAGAAACGACAACGGAAACCAAAACAACACCATACAAGAAAATCGAGACTACAGAAATATCATCGACGACCGAGTATTCAAACACCGCAAAGAGCGATGAGACTAGTGTTATATTTCCATCGACGCCTTTACTGACAACTACACGGTACGAAACATCTACAAGTCCGACTTCCGTTGTGTATTCAATGACTACCTTGTCTGTTGATACGAAGACAACTGAAAACGAAGAAAACTCAAATTATAAACAAAGAGCTAATAATGAATATGAAAACCAAATAAATATATCCGTTTCAGAAAACCCTTCCACTCCGAATCCATCAACTGAAACTACCACCGTGTCCAAAAACACTGCTGAACCAGTCCAATCTACAGAACAGCCGATACCGTCTACCGAATTTACATCTGACCGTACGATAATATCCGTAGAAAAAGTAGCCAACGTTTTAAGTACTACATTGATTCCAGACACCGTTACAATGTCGTCGACTTCCAAACCAGATGATGACAAAAACAGCAGTTATGTAACAGATGAACCATTAATTAGCAGGAATCAAGTGTCCAATCTGTCACCGACTATTCAAGACGATAAAAGTACAAATATTCCGCCTAGTGGTGAAAAAAAGGAAGCATATATTACACCGGAATTCGTAACTATAGCTGCACCTACACGTCAGCCAACGTACAACAGTGAAATACTTCAACCGGTGCCTACATCTGACGACCCGGTAAAACCAGTTGTGTCTGGTTCCAATATGTCGCCCGAATGTGAAGCAGCCAATAAGGATGCGATTAAAACCATAATTTGCAATTCGGAAAAAATTAAGAGTCGTGCAAAAGCGAATAGTATCCCATCGAAAAAAGCCAATGAACTCAAAATCAAGCCAGCATTAATTACCGTTTTAAACAAAACCAATGGAGCAAGAGTGTCTTTATACGAATCCGGTAAACTAAACAGAAGGATCCCATCAAAAACCCAAGATCATCATGCGACCAACTATGGTGTATTAAAACCTGAAGAACTGGACAACAGTTCACTGTGGTATGAAAACACACCAAATCAGAGATCACGGGAACACGACAATAGCCGGGAGCAAACGCAACTAGCTTTGAATAAAAAAATAGCAAAACTGTTCAAGCCCGAGTATGAGAAACAAATTTTAACTGGACCTAACCAGGGCACAGTAATACGAATAGCAAAACCCGGAGAACAAGACAGAACCGTCCTGATCATTTTACCGGTGATCACGGAACCCGCAAAGAACATGGCAGAAAAAATCAGCGAAAACGTCGAAATCAAACGTTCTTAAACAATTGCAACATAATCTTTATTAATATAGATACTGTTTTTATGTAACTACTAAAAAAAAGAACTATTTAATCTTAAGAATAAATTGCGTTTAATTGTATTTCATTAATATTTTACACCAGGTTAATCGTTCAATTGACACAGTAGGGCTACTCCGCGATAAATCCAATGGGAAGGAGTTTTATCGGTATCCAACAACATAGGTAAAACGTAATTAGTCGAGTGACCCGTCGTAGATAGTATACCTCTTCTTTCGGACGTCTTGTAAATAGGACAAACGTATCTGTACCCTTCGACGAGCTCTTTTTTTCTGATGGGTATAAACCACACCAACGGCAAAACGTCCGATAGAATTTTTGGCATCTGTTCTTCTAAAACCATTCTGTGCAACACAAAATGGACAACAACATTAGGTTCCTGTAGAATACCAAAAAAAAAAAAAATAGCTGTATCCGTAAACACTCACTTAGACCTGTCCCAACGAGCTCCGTCCAAAAACAAACCGTAACAGTAAACGCCATCCTCGGGCGCTGAGTCCATTTTTTCTGTGCGCTGTACTTGAAAGTCAAAACACAACTGATCTATTGGTATTTTATAACGCCGAGCAAAATTTTGCATAGCTCCCGTAAGGAACGCCTGCGTGAAGAAGAATCCGCTCAACCAGAAATTGTTCGGCTTACCATAATCATACCAGTTCTAAGACAAAGTAAGTATTTTATAAGTATAAAATAAAAGTTCTAGGTCTACTCTTCCCGAATAAATCAACTACTCATAATCTACTACTCATCCAAAGAAAAAAAAAATTAAAAAACTATTTTTATATTAATATGTTGTTTATTATTAGTTCATGCATTTGCATGTTTTAACTGAATAGTCTGAAAAATAGCAAATTGAGCTACAAATTTGAATTAAATTTTTAAGAAACCAAATTCCAAAATTTATTTTGCCTAGTTAAGCAAATTTTGAGTTTTTTCATGTTTGCGCATATTTTTTATAGCTTCGATTATGCAGCATATTTTGCATTTTAAAATTTTGTTTACTTAAAAGTACCAATAAAATGAAAACAACATAAAGAAAATGTTTTTGAAAAATACAGAATTACAGTACAACATATATTATTATTATTAGATAAAAATAAAACCACTGTCAATTATTTTTTTTGCATAATTGTTTTTTTTAAACAGTTGTTAATTATATTTTTTATAATTTACAAATCAGTAAATAAATATTGTGACTACAATATTTTTCAAGAGGTAGAGTGCGTCGACCGCACTCTACCTCTTGAAAAATAGGTAATTCACGCAGATAAAAATATTACTTCACATCACCATTCCTCCGGTCCTAAACTTAAAACTTCGATAACTTTATAAGTAATTATTCAAAATTATTCTTATTTTAATAATTTAATTAAATAAATACATATTTAATGTTAATAGCGCTGTAGAAAATACTAAAAATGGTAAATGTTTAGTAATTTTATAATATTGTGTAGAAGTGTATTCAAAACGAAAAACTACAAAATTGTAATTTTTCCAACAAAATAGTGCCGTTTAATACATCATTCGGTTTATAATAATTAAGTTTTTTTCAAAATTGTTGTACAAATACTAGTGATTAGTCACTGCCTATATTATAACATTTGAGACTAGTTCAATCGTTAATTGCACATGCATAGTTTAACTATGTTTACTTGTAATATACTTATAAAATATTTAAAAGCTAAAAATAATTGGGAAATAAATAAAAATTGATTTAGACTTATGTTAAAATATACCAAATTACAACAATTTTGAAAAAAAACCACTGAAAATACAATTTTTTTTTTTTCAAAATGAACGAAATTAAAAACAAAATGGATGTCTAGGGAGTTTTGTTGGAGGGGTGAACAGTGCAAACGTTTCACCCACTATCCTACCCCACTAGATAGTTCTTTAAAACGGTTGGTTTTAAATTTTAATCTCAAAATATTTAACTCGCCCGCCCGCCAGTCAAAGTGTATGTGCGTGTCATGCATTTGTTCTAGAAACTACATAATTTAGCCGACCGTAGAAAGTTAATGTCTCGTAAATGTCTGGGCGTTTGTCTTTTGTCGCACTTCTCCGTCTTTCCTAACACCAAAACAACACAAGGGTCGTACTTACGAAATCATTCGTACGTCACTTTCTAAACGACTAATGCCGTACATATTGCCCGACCGCTATTCTTGGGTACACTATTCGAACGTGACATACAATTTATTCTTTACCTCATTTAGCGATTTTCGTTGTTATTTAAACCGGAACTCAAACGAAGGGCGAGGGGATCAAAAAGATATATCGTCCCTATGGGCTTTTTTCATGGCAATTTATTTTGGTACAATCGCAATACAACAATATGCAGTGTAATAATAGGTATTGAAAAAAAAATAGACAATTTTAATAATTTAGGTTTGTTTTCTCTATCAAATAAAAAGTTATTTATTTATTTATAATTTTATATCAGTAACCAAAGATTAACAGCTGGGCCTCACTGACAATGAGAGAACATTTCAGACAATTTTTGTAGTATCTTAAATATTTAGAATAAAAATAATAATAATGTATTGTAACTTGACGACCGGTAAATCACATGATACAAATTTAGGGTAATCATAAATTTAAGAATGTCATTTCCAAGTTATTTAGACCCCGTAGAACTTAAAAAATGGCAATTTCCCCTTTTTTTTAATATATAATAGTTTTCAAAATTAAATATTAAATAATTTTCAGAATTTAAAATACTGCATACCACCCGATTTTTCAAAGTTCTCATCAAAATTGATAGGTAAAATAATTTTTCAACAAATTATGTAGCGATAAATTAGTAAAAATGATTTTATGTATTTTCATGTCAAAACATGTTGTTCAGCACTAATTTTTTTTTAGCTTACCTACTTTTTTATTTATATTATTTTGGCAAAAATAGTTTGTTATTTGTAATTTCACAATCCAGTCAATAAAACAATTAAAACATTTTCAAAACAAAAAGCACTTAATGTTATGACATTTTGTAAAAAAATATCGAGTGTTATTAAATATTTTAGTTTTGTTTTAGAAAATCTCAAAATTTTAAAGATTAACAACGAGATTTTTTACAGAATATATCGCGTGACTCTGATCAGAAATTATTCAATTATTTTATTAATATAATGATTGGAAGTTTTTCCGTAACAATTTCTTATACTATTATAATAGAATATTTTGGTTTTCAGTTTGAAAAAAAAACTTAAATGAGATTAAAAGGTATATCTAATTTGCGTATAGTGCAAAAGTTTAGGAAAGTTTGTTTTTTATTTAATAACACTTGTTCTTTGACTAATATTTTTTATTTACTAACAAAATATAATCAATATGGTCTCGTTAAAAAATAATTTTCATATTATTGTTAATTTATCACTAGTTAAAAGTTATTTTAACCGGTTAAATTCGATAATCGAATGTATATATATTGAAACGGTAAGTAAACATTGACCAAAATATTATTGTCCCAAACTTTAATGATTCATGACAATCGAGTATTTATAATCAAAACGTATATAAATAAATTAAATACAACACATAAATTCCGGTTTTGGATAATTTTGGATAATTGTGCATAAAGTTAATATCGATAAGTCTACTTAAGGGGTTGCTTGGAGTATATTAAGAAAAGAACACGATTTGCTTTTTCAAAGAAATATTGTTTATAATTGCTCGCACCGTATTTCTGGCGCATAACTCGCATATTTTTGACATTTAAAATAAATTACGATTGAAAGTTTTAACGTTCATTATTTGTATGGTACATTTATTTCTTTGGTTTATTCAGACCGTAAGTATAAATAATATCAAAACTTATCAAAACTTTGATTGGAATTCGGAAACACACCGCTGAACTATTGACGTTTACTGGTAGAACTAAAAGTTTAAAAGTTTACTGTTCAACATGTATTCGATTATATTTGCTATACAAATACATGATTAAATAATTTAATTCTGTTTCTAAAATTTTCCATTTCAAGTGGAACAAACCTAATACAATTAATTTAATGCTTCAAAAACGATTATTACATTTATTTTCTTGTCAATTGGTTCTCATTGTATAAAATTAGGAAACTTATTTAATTAGTAGTTAATGGTGCTTTTATACTAATTATTTAAAAAAAAGTCTTATCGACAACACCAAAATTTACAAATTAGTTAAATCCATTAGACGTTAATCTATTAAACGTTATTAACCATTCATTTTAAATTTAGTGAATTTAATATTTTCTATAAAATAAAAAAACATTTTTATAAATACTGAAAACTTTCTTATAGGTTTAATTAAGGCACGTTTATTAATTTTTATTGAAAATCATGTTAAAAAATGGGTCTTAAAAAACTTTTAAAAAAATGTAAATTATTTTTAGACGATCTCTTTTTCCTAAATCCTTATTAAATAAATTAAAGTAGGTAAATTTAAATGGTATATATAATTTTACTATTTATTTTTTTTATATTAATTACATTAAAAAGATTATTAACCATTTTACTAACTTAATATATTATGATTGGGTTAAAAAGATGCAAAACTGATATTAAAGGCTGTTGGCTATCTTAAATTTTGTACTGACGATGAAAATCGTAAAATATTATAAACAATTAAATAAAATTATGCTACATGAAACTTGTAATTGGATCAATAAAACAAAGATTTCTATAAATTATGATCAAAGTCAAGAATAATAACTAAAATATAAAAAAAAAATGTATACACCCTAATTTCTTATTTCTTATTGATTTCTTATTTTTTTTTAATTATTCATTAACATTAATGTTTCTCCGATTTTAATTTCAGTTTCCACAGTATTATAATGTGAAATCATGTGCAAATTTCGACTTAACGAATTGGGCAAAATATGTCCTTTCAACTAAATTTATTGTTGGTCTGTTGTTCGGCTCCCATTTTTGATAGCACAGATAATAATATTAATACGCTATAATCTTAGGATTAATTTTATATTATAAATGCGATTGCCGGAGTGGATAACTATTATTTTGCTTTTCAAACGAAATTCAGATAACAGCATACTCACTTGAAAGAATTTCAGTCTGTCCAAAAAATTAGTAATATAACCGGCCAGAGACTTGAGACTGGGGTATGAATATTTCGACCAAAACGCTGGGTACTTGGAAAGGGACAACGATAAGGCCATAGTTTCCAGTTCAGGCGTCATTACAATAGCGCCTTTGATAGCTTTTATCAGATCCTGTAAGCTCTTACGAACTACCGACAACAATGCATTAAACCGTTCCATTTCTTGAATGAGAACCGTGTTCATAGACTCGCTATACATGACCGGATATTTTGCGCCGGCAATTTCCACATCAAAATTATTTGGCAGCTTCGACAATATGTCCGTGATGATCGCCAACAATAAATTATCCGTCGATTCACTATCGTCAGTGCCACTACCACCGGACTCCAGCACCGACATCAACGAATTAAAAAGTTGCGTGGTGGCTTGCAAATCTCGGGTAATACCCGAATTCATGTGCAATCCGAATACTTCTGGACTTGGAACGGTTGGCATTTCCTAGTCGGTACAATCATCATTTGATAATTATTTATATATATTATAGTCACATGCAGAGTTGGGCATAGTCGATTATAATTTTATTTTATTAAATTCACGAATAAAAAATTAAATATTATATTCCATTTTTCGTTCAATCGTTTAATCATTTTTAATGCCTTAACTAATGGTATATGTATAAATAAATAAATAGTGGTCATCTCAATTCCCAATTATTAAATAAAAATAAAGTAATTAGTTAAAAAAAAATTGAATTTAGAAAACACTTAATTATAAATAAACATTTTATTCGTGGTAAAAGTTAATTTCTTTATTTTAAATAGTTCTATTCGTAAGTTAACTTATTAAAACATATATTTTAAATCGTTAATCATCTATTCAACTTTTTGCTTTCAACTTGAATACAAATTGCCCAACAATAGTTGTATGTTAATTTTTTTAAATGTTTACAAACGTTTACTATTTCTATTTACCTCGATTTTTTTTATGAAGTCGTGGTAATTTGTGCGGTAGGGTATACCATACTTTGTGCTAATGGCACAAAATAGATAATGGGGATCATCAACCACCGCTGAACAACAAAACATACTTAAAATCGTTTTCATGGTTCGTCTGTCCCAGTCGTCAGTTACTCTACCGCCATAATTACACTCGCCTGTCAAATATGTTATGGCTTCGAACGGGATTTCCACAAACTCGTTTATATACATCTAAAATAACCGTGAGAATATAGTTAATATGCGTATGAAATGCAAAAGAATACATTTACTTTTAGCTGCAATATGGAAATATGATAATCGGATTCGTTAAATCCGTAAGGTATATTCCATCCAATGGCTCCGAATTTCTTTCTTTCCTGTACTACGGCGTGGAAAAACGTAATCCCGTACAATAACTTGGTGAAAGGCCGCTCTTTGCCTGGACAGCCTTCGAAAAATTCTTGATCTTTTACCGGGTACGACTGATAATTCCTGAGCATATTTGCTTGCAATCCCATAGGAGGTTCGTTGGTCATTTTCACGCCGTTTTCAAGAACGGACACTGGAAACTAACAGCAACCCTCGTTAACGGCCATAAAAACAAAACCGAGCATAGTAGTATAAATCAATACTTGAGCCGACGGATAACTGGTCAGCCACAGTCTAAATGCGCTATTCGTATTGGACATGTCAAACGAATTGCATATAGCGTCTAACTTTCCCATCCACGAAGTGGCCAAGTGACAGTTTTGTAAACAAACCCATCCGCCCGACTGTTGCGCTTCTTGAATCAATGCCGCAGCGATGGGCCCCTTTAAAATTGATGAAAATCGTTATGTGAACTTACGCCCGACGTTTAAGCTTATTTACTTGTCCCTGTCCCAACGACACGCTTTGTAATTTTTCGGACTGCCCCATTTTTTCGGCAAATTGCAATAGGTTCGACATTGGGTCCACTCCAGGCGAGAGTATGAATATGAGCGGGGTTAGACATATCGAATCGCTGTATGATTTGCTAATATCGAATGGCGGCGGGTACGTAAACTTTTCACCGAGTTCTTCTTCTATGAGCTTGGTGACGACGGGTATCACTTTGTCGGGTCTTATAGTACGAATAACGAGTATCCTCTGGAAACTACTCAACTTATCGTACCACGGATTAGGAAATTTCGAAGTGTGTGGTTCCGTTAAATCGTAGTAATGTTTCCAATCGTTCGAGTTTTTTGTAAAATGATCTTTCAGTCCTGAAAGTAATGTGAAAATATCATATACTTTACCGAGTGACGTCGTTATCACTCAGTTCGTTAAAAATCCTTAAATGCACGAACCCTTAAAAGCACTTAAGTCATTTAAGCGACAAATCTCGTCCCAACTTTTTTCGAGAAGCCAGTTAGTGGGATTAGGCACTGTGTTTTTAAGACCTACTCCGCCAGTCATCAAAAACATCAATTCCTGCTTGTCGATTTTATTTTCGGCTCTTTGAAAAAATTCATTTTTATGAAAATGTATTACTGTTTGTATTTTTTTTTTTTAAATACTCACAGCATTATAGTAGTGCACATGATAAAAGAGAATAACGTTTTATCTTTTTCAAATAACGACCGGCACACGTTCGAATACAAGTTATAGGTAAATGTTTCTCTCAGCGCGTCCAAACGCACCTTAATGAACTTTGATTTATTTCTAAAAAAAAATACATATAAACGTAAGTATATGTTATCAAATAGTCATCAAAAATTAACTCCTCACAAATTTTAGGTATCCGACAACATTAATAATAAAACAAAATTGCACACTTACGCTGTCTCGATAGTCATAATATAGATATTAATGAACCAGACCAATGAATATTGGTACATGGGATCTAGGTTTGGCAAATCGGTAACACAATAATACAGTATTGAACAGTGTTCAGCAATCGGTTTGTACTGTAATCTGAACTGATCTAATACTGCTACAGTTTCTACCGAAGCCGCTTGTTTTAAAGTGATTTCCTTGGCTAATATCTAATAAATCATGATCGAAAATTATTTCATATTGAAAATATAATAAATGCCTTGTCTTCGATGACCAATGCGGTAAGTCACCTTTGAATTATCTAAAACGTCTACTGCGTTTTCGTCTTCTAAAATGTTTCCCGGCGCCGACAGTATTTGTAAAATGTTGTTTTCGACATCTAACAATGCCCTAGCGTTTTCAGCACCTTCGACAATTAACTGTTGTCTCTTAGATTCTAAATCTGGCCTAAAAACAAATATTCAAGCCCACTGTCAAACATATTTTAATCTGATTAATGAATCAGAAATCATAACTTAATAATTTATCAGCAAAGTAATTATACGATACATGATTATATTAACGATTACAAAATATTACTTTCTTTTTATAATAGGTAAAGATAACTCTTACTGTAGTTGTTTTAAAACATTTAACTGTTCTTAAATACATTTATTAATATTTCCAAATATTCAGATGTTCAAATTACATCTATATATATATATATATATATGTAAATAAATAAAATATATGTTTATATGTAATAACGCCTAAGGCCTTAATAAAAATATAATTATTAATTCATTATTGCAATTTATTGATTATTTTTTTGTCAATATATGTAGATATTGATGATGCACATTATTATATTTATTATAGCACACATCAATCGTCATACCTTTCTTTAGCAACAACGATTCCCAGTAGCTGATCTTCTAAGCCTTCTACAGTCAGTGCAAAGTTAATAATAGTAACTTTGTTAAACACCTCTGGCATGTAGTGAGGATTTCTTAGTTTCGAAGTTATATATAATTGAAATTTCGGATTATACTCAATTACATTATCTCCGAGTGCGATGAAAAACATATTTCCTAAAATACCGTAAAATTTGGTAAAGCGTTTAAAAAGTATGGTTTAAAAAAAAAAATTTTAAAGCATATTTGTTGTAACAAATAGTGATAACTCCAAAACTAAATATTTTTGGACATAAGTGTATCGTTGATATTTGTTTCTACAAATAATTTTAATCTTAAAATGTCTAATTATAACAAAAAATGTATCTATGATTTGAATTGTCACTATTTTCTCTGTAAACAAAATATTATTAGAATAAATTTATATTCGAATGATGTATTAATTTTTTAATCGATTAATATTCAAATAAGTTTGTTTTAAACAATCAATTATTCTGACTATAAAACTGCTAAACTTGACTCTAGAGAAAGGTACTTATTTCACTCGTACATTATTATCATAGTTTGTTATTTACCTTGTCGGTAAATTTGTTTCAATAAAATAGGATCTAAAGGTGGATCCAAGTCCTCGAGTACGTTTTCAATAAGAACAGGCTTCCCAAATTCGATACATATTTCGATCGTTTTCATATAAGTTGGGCTGGATAATTGTACAACGGCTAGGCCGTTCACTCTCTCCATCGTCTTAATCCATTTATGTGCTTGACCTTGAGGATCGACCAGTAAAGACCATCTCTGTGATCCGTCCATGATTATGGCATTGCTGATTGAAAACGAATCCATTGGCAATCCATTAATCGTCCAGTTCTGTATTTTAATAGGAACGCCTAAAACGTCTATTAAACTATAGTCGTCCGAACTTGGGATCTGTAAACTTTTACACAGCGATTTCCAACTGTTAACTGCCGAGATCCTGTAAAACATATGGAATATGTGCAGGTTGTATAAAGTATACTGATTTTATGACAGTACCGGAAATTCGAAGTAAATGGCGCTAAGTATGCAATTATTCCACAAGATATAAGTATGTCGCCCGGTATACAATCATAGTTATATTGTAGCTCCTCAGCACGTTGTGCCCAACGGTGCTTTTCGCCTCCGAGACTTCCTGAACGTTAAATAAAACTATAAAATATATTCTATACTGTGAAATTATTTCGTTTAAGGGCATACCTATAAGCTTTTCGGCTTTCACCAATTTACTCTCGCACAAAGCTACCTCTGCTAACAGTTTTTCTTTATTTCTTTCAGTGTCCTCTAAACGTTCCTTTAAAGAATCGAGCCTTTCTTGTAACTGTCTCACTTGGTTTCTTTTTTCATCCAAAATAGCCATGGTCGCTTCGTACTCGGCATTAGCTATCTCCAGTTTCTCCTTTTTCGGCGCAACGACTTTTATTACTTGATCGTACATGTCCAAAGCTATAATCCATTTACATAGACCTTCAGCGGCACTCGATGCTTTGGCTACGATTTGTGGTTTAAAATTTGGATCCGGCAGATAGGTTTTACGAATTATAGTCATGGTTTGAATCGGTATGTTGTCTTTATCGTACTCCTTTAACCGTTGTAAGAAATTCATGTCGCCGAGTAATCTTTTACTTGGACCCCAATAGTCTAATATCTATTTCATTATACACAAGTTTAATAACAGCGTGCCCATAAGGTACTCAAATTAAATTACTCAATTATAATTAAAGTATACTTTTTGTCCTGGTTTGTTGGGATCGGGAATTTTATCCGGCAGTACGCCTTTCATTACGCAAACAGCAGCCATTACAGTTTTTACAACCTCTGGAGGATTTTTCATTGACTTCACTAACGTTATATCAGCTGGCTTAAGAGTGTTCAAGGCATCAATAGCGTCTGTCAAAAGAAATTATTGTTATTAGTAGAAGCATTCTGTTTCCACCTTACTATCAGAACAGGTCATTATTTAACATGAATTGGCAAGGCTAGCGAATTATTTTAAACCCCAAAAATAATCTATCGGCAAGCGAATAACGCAATAATTAAAAAAAAAAATCAAATGTTTTGAATTTAACCTTCTAATACTGGTATAGCCAAAGCAAGATCAGCCTCGCATTCAGTTTTCAACTCGTTAGCAGCATCGGCTTGAACGTTGGCCACTTTTTCATCTTCTTGGACTCTGGCTGTGGCTTTTTCCACTTCGACCGTCTCGCGAGAAATAATGATCATCATCTCTTCGGTATCCTTTTGTGCTTTTTGCAGCTGAGGTTGTAACTTGAATAAATCTTCTTTCATTTGACTAACTTGCACAGTTGCATATTCTAGTTCCTGAAGACCGCCGACGTAACGCATTTTGGCTTCCATTATTTCTTTTTGTTTGCGATTAGTACAATCGGTGTACGCTTTTATTAAATCAAGATAAGAAGCAGACGTTACGTATGTTCGACGGCGTGTACTTGAATAAAATTCTGATGATAGTTTTCTGCAATTTTTATTAAATTGTCTTGTTTGAAAATTATTCCACTTGCATTGCACAACAACAGCTCTTACCTAGCATCTACGTGAAAACTTTGGCAAACTGTCACCGCCGAATTTTTTATCTTATCCGAAAGATTTACACCTTGTAAATATCTACGAGCGACCATTTCCAAAGCGTCTTCCGGCCAGTCCTCGAACCAATCTATAGTGCAACAGCTGACCATTGACGGGTATAGTCTTAAACGATTTCTAAAACTACTGCCAATAGGGCTGAAGCACAAGCATATATGCAAATTTTTTTTACACCTATTTGTAAAATAGTCGAAAACGACTAATGGAGCGATATCTAAATTTCTATTTCCTCCTTGAGCGGCTAATCTAACCATCTAAACAGAGTCAATATCAATTAAAAGTGAATAATGAAATATATTTAGAAATCAAATTTATATTTTACTTCGAGGATTTCTTGTTGTTCGTCTACAGCAAACAGGTTTGGTATTTCTCCAGAATTTAACAGAGCGTCGATATCTTGTAAGAAATATTCCTCTTTTACTTGGCCTTCGGCAAACAAAAAAACTGTCGGTCGATTTTTGCCGCCAGATTCTTTCAATATCATTTTCATATCGTCTCTCCATTCGTTAAACGCATAACTTTTCGTTATCTCGGGTTGAAATACATTATAACTGCAAATAGCCGCTCCCAAACGAGTCAGAGATTGACGGCCTGAACCTCCAACTCCGACTAACAAGGCACATCCACTGGGTGTGGTCAAAATTCGACAAATTCTCGATAGATGTTCGAGTGCAAATCTTGATTATTAAAAACTAATATAAATCATACGTTTATGTAAAACAATAACTTCTAGCTAATTTTATTACTTGAATAAAACGATATTCAGCTTTGACTTGTGCGTCATATCATATTCGTCCATTACCATTTTAACAACATCTTCAAAACTCGACAGCGAAGGAGGTTCTTCATACTTTTTATCCTCTAAAGCATCTAAGTCCATTGCACTAGTGAACATAAGATTTGACATATCTTCATATCTTATGGGCTGAAATTTTGTTTATTTACATTATGTCAGGGTAATATCACAGGTTAAACATATTATAGATAGGTAAAAAAAATTAATTAGATTCACATTTCCTGTTAAATTATTGTGAATTCCAAAAAGAGGAGAGTCGAATCAATATCTATAATATATTTAATCGTTGGTTATATAAATCGATAATAAACATTAAAAATGTATTTTACCGTCGAACTTGATAAGTAATTGAACAAAACATCAAATGTTTCTTGGAAGTATTGGCTGACATGTAAACGAATTTCATTGAACAACCATTCTCTACCTTTGTCATCAATCAGGCGATCATAAAATACTCTCATGATTTCATGTACCCACAACCTACATTAGTGTCGGTTATTAGAAAAACAAATTTACCATTTAACATTGATAAACATACCTCGTAAACACTTTTCTATTTGTAAAGCTTTCTTTTCGGAACATAAGTATTCCATTGGTCACTTTTGATATGTCTCTTAGATTAAATAAATAATGAGACTTGGCTGGAGTTGGAGCTAAATTAACAATAGCAGATCTATACAGGTTAATTGTAGATTCAATAATTACGTCTATGATCGGCATCACTTCTAACGTGAATCCATTCCTCTATAATTTAACTCCGTGAAAACAAAAAAAACTAATCAGTCGTGCATTTTTAAATAAAGCGCTTACCCTTAATCCGATTTGTAGTAACGTCGAATATATCTTAGTAATACTCTCATCGTCAAACGAATTTATAGCAAACAGTCCGAAATGCCGTAAAAATCGATGGTACACATCTTGCCTGCTACCACCGGGCGGTCCAATAGCAGTTAAAAGGAGAACGTCTTTTATGTAAACTTTGCTCGTGTCTTGTAAATCGTACCAATGGCCGTGATCGAAGAACTGTCTTAACAGCTCGATTGGAGGTTGTGCTCCGTATTGTTCTTTTACAGGCATGTTCATGTCGTCGACGAATATCACACACAATTTTCCAATGGGAGGACCGTAAACGCCTCGCTTGCGCTTTATAAGTTTGGATATGACCATTTCTTGAGTGAAATTAGCAGACGTCTGGATTGTAAACGTAATGAAAGACGGGACGTATTTGTCTAAGGACAGTTTGTTCATCATTTGATTCTTTATGTAAAAACTCTTTCCGGTACCCGTAGCACCGAAAAGTAATAAAGGTTTGCGATGACTGATGTACATATCAACCAAATGCAAATACCTACATGCAAGAATAGTACATTGTCAACTGTATTAGCTTTTAAGTTGATTAAATAATGGATACTTTACCTCGAAGTGTCAGTGGTATGCACTAAAGTTTGTTCGATGTTACTCATTTCTTCTACCTTGTTATTTTTGGAGATCTCCGACCAACTCTTCCAAGACCCTTTTGCCGTACAGCTATACACATAGTCGTACAATAATCCTTCGTTTGGTATGAGTATTTCTAAGCGACTCATTTCTTCCGGTGGTGTCAAACTCGGGATTTCACCCTTCCACAACTGTCTAAAATACAAATCGAACACTGGCCTCGACGCGGTATCGAGTGTCCCCCCAAATCCCCATACAGCGGCATACACAAAACATCCTTGTAAATAGTTTGTAAAATATTCATAGTAAGCTGGATTGTCGATGCTCGCATTTTCTAGTTGCATTTCAAGTAGGTTTAAAACGTTTCTATAAGAAAATAACAATAATAATTAAAACATTTTTCACAATATAAATGTTAAATGTTGGCACAAATAACAGTACAAGACGGTATTCGTTTCGCCAGCATTAGTTAATTGATTGCAACTTCGACGAATAAAGTAAAGACAAGGTGGCGTAATCCAATCGAATAAACACATTATATCAATACTATTCTGACCAGTTGACCAAAATTCGGAACAAGTTTCCATCCAAGATTCTACAATCGGTCTCCAGCCTAAAATCGAAGGATCCATATAAATCATTCCACAGCGAGACACCGTGGCGGGAGATGCCTTTATAGATACAATAAAACAAACGATTAAAATATTAACTACAATTCTTTATTTTCATCTCAGATACCTGAGTAAGATCCATGACTTCAAATATCATTGACATGCACGGTGGCATGCTCATAACTTCACCAGAGTTCAAGCACAATTTTTTATTATCGTCCAATACTGTGTTCATATTTTCTATCCAAACAGCATCGACTGGACCATCGAATATTAACCATTTCCTATCCGGGGTCTCTGACATTGAAAATTTTCTAAAAGAACAAACGAATAATTGAAAATATTTGTACTAAATTATTTCAGTGAATTTAATACCTAAATGTGTTAGCTACAACTCCATCGGACCATTCATGTGAAACATCATCAAAGGATCCATAAAGTTGTCCCATAGTTAACGCTTTAGGGTTAACAGTTTCGTATTCAACTTTCTCTTCTCCTTGATTAAGTTTGTTTTGCAAAGTCAAGGTTTCGGACAGTACTTTTAGTATAGACGTTTTTCCTCCAAAAGGATTACCGACCAACATAAAACCGTGCCTAACCATCATCATTTCATATGTTTGAATGAGCTTCGTCATAAAACTAGCAGTGGCTTGCAAATGTTTTTCAGCACACACCTAGAATAAACGTTTAACTGGTGTAAACCCATATTTTATATTTACATTTTTGCCACTCACTTTTTTCGCAGCACTGAGCAAATTATCATATTTTGGATTGGGTAGTCTAACTCCAGGAAACAGATCAGATATTATACCGTTAAACAGAGGAACGTCTTTATTTAAAAATTTCGCTAAATTTACATCCAAAATAGATCTAAGTAATAGTTCGGACTCGTCATCATTGGGGAATCTCATCTTCAAATTACCAGCTGCCGTGAGCACAGTCTTAACAGCTCTCATTCCTATGAACCGACACATTTTTTTACAGAAAGTAAATAACATGTAACTTATCAGGCCTTGAAGGCCCAACGCTGCCATGATGAGATGGTTTCAAACACACTGTATCCCCACTCGGGAACTCCTCCTCCTCTTAAAAGTAAATAACTTCCCAAAATAAATACAAATAAAATGCAAATGGGTATACCATAATCGTAATGAGATTGAGATGATAACTGTTCGGAACACAGTTTGTAAGTAGTGACGATTTTAACAGATAGTTCTCTAGCATTTACAAATCCGTTTGAATACAGCTGTATTTCACCAATCATTGTGTAGTCGGGTACCATCATAGCCACAGTCCTAAACAAGACCTGTCAAAGAGAAGTATATATTTTGTACTCGCATTGTTTTTTTTAATTTTAAACCTAACTTCCTAACCTTCAAATTATCTGGAAGTTCTGATCTTCCGGCGTAGCCCGGATTCATAGTGATGCATACATAACATCTCGGGTTCAACACAAGTTCCGTGCCTTCGAAGATAAACGTTTCTAGATCAGCTCTAACTGCTTGTGCAATACATAATATTTGTTGTGCGATCACTGAAAGCACTTCAATGTCTATTCGGTTGAATTCGTCGAAACAAGCCCAAGCTCCAGAAGAAGCCAATCCTTTGAAGAACTATAATAAAAGGTTTACTTTTGGATATACACAATTGCAAAATCTTCTCGTGGGTCATACTTTTCCCATGGCCAAGTAGTCGAGACTGTCCGAGCAATTGTATACAACACATTGCACGGCTAAAGCTTTTGCCAAATCCTTAGTAGTTTCCGTTTTTCCCGTGCCAGCAGGACCTTCGGGAGCACCATTCAAATGTAAATGGTAGGCACTAACCAGCGTCCGGTAACATCTATCAGTCAACGGTGTAATAACAAGTCTTGGCGAATTTCCTAGGTACTCATAAGCGTAGTGTATGGTAGCGTTAGTAATGCGTACCATTACGTCGTCTTCCCAATAATATCTAAGGCGAATAAACAAATGAAACCACATTGAAAAAGTGGACAACATAAAACATATCTTACCTAAGTTGACTAAGCCATTTAAAGTCCATAGCATGAATGACGTTGTTGTTTGCTAACTCGTTAACTACGTCACGGCCGTGGACATCCAACGTGACCAGTGCTTCTAGAGTTATTCGAGTTTGTGTACTCAACTTGCCTCGCACTAAATCAACGATATTGTTTAACTGGCTCTAAACACGTTAGAAAATCAGTCCATTTAAATAAAAAAACCTCAATTTTTTCTATACTATGTAGGATATTACAGTTAAAAACGCTTGATGTATTCGCATTTGTCCGGATTTGTTTGCCAAAAAAACTTCATGCACTTCGGAAGTCCAATAAATTTGATCAACGCACAACACCGCTTGACCTGGCCATTTCTGAACCCATTCTGTACGTTTAATAGTTGGATATTCTAAGTAAGCCTTCTCAATAATACTTCGAATGGATTTTATCATTTGCTCTTCGACCTGATGTAACGACGTTGAAAATAAAAGTTTGACCAAATTTTGTTGTGTAATTAATTAAAGCACAATTACAAATGTTACTACCTGAACTAGCCATTTTTCGACACTTCCTCTCGCTTCCGCGGTCGATATAGTCTCTACTAAGGCAACTTCTTCTCCTTCTTTGCTCAAAATCTTTAGTATGTCCAAATCGTCGTTAAACTCGAGCTTAGAAATACCTTCAAAACTTTTTCCCAAATAAGGCTGGACTCTTTTAGGATTTTTGGTTTCAGATAAAATTTCCAACATTTCGTCGTTCCCCAGGAAGAAAAATCTTTATTCCGATTATTAAAACGTACTTTATAAAATACTCTTGATTTAATAAGATAACAAAAAACGACATTCCAACCTACCTCGGGAAAAACAAACGTTTCTTCTCTAGATAATTATTAACTCCTGTAGTAATGTTTTCAATTATTTCTACACAATCTGTTAAGGTCTCTAAAATCCCGTCCTGGCCGACACATTTAACAGCTAATGGATTTTTATCAATCATGCCTAACAGACCTCTAATAATTGTATCAATTTCCTAAACCATTAATAATTTCAATAATAATAATTTCAAATTGTGATTGTATACTGATATCTTACTACAAATAGAGCCCCTTCCTCGGGCATCTGAGCAACAATATCTTTGGAACTGAAAATGGGCATAAGATACAGCCATTTTATTTGCACCTTCGCCCATTCTTCTAGAGTCATGTTCATTCTGTTAATCAGATCAAACCACTCTTTTACTTCCCCAGCAATGGGTTTAACGAAAGCCGATCCACGCATCGATATAGTTTTGATAAGATGATCATCAATCACCATTTGTATATCATCCAAACCGGACAGAATGTTTATTTTTGTAGCCCTTTAAAATTGTATTGGTCGTTATTATTTTAAATAGTTATAAACTACTATTCGTGGAACTTATAATATACTTATAAGGGCTGGTAGTTAGAATGATGGTCTCCCACTCTTCTTTCATTTTCTGCAATGTTTTTTTTAATTGTTCTTCTTTGGTTGCTCCAACACTAATAACGTCAAATCTATAAATATGTTAACAATAAATTAATATTTAATGTCGAATGAAATTGTACATTCAAATGTATTTGTCTGACGTAAAAATTATATTGTTAATACACATTAAGTCTTTTGTTGTTTTTAAAGACTTTCGTGTAAATTATTATTCAATTTACATGTTTTATTGTACTTATTAATACTTTTTGTGATTAAGACAACAAAGACTTAAAACTCAAATAAAAGTCAACACAGACTTGCTTAACGCTTTCAACCGGCAAATACTGTTATAATTCGCCTTGCGAGTATTTAAATATTTAATCAATTTAGTTCTTAGTTCATTATGAAGTGGCAAAAACAAACGTTTTCTTATAAATTACTAAATCTTAATTTTAAAATAACTTCATTCAAAATATTATTTTTGATCATTTACGTAAACACTTTTATTAATTACAATAATGTACACATTTACTACACTCAGTAGTATAAAAAGCGCGCTTATATTGATATAATCATTTTTATATATTCACATAACTAATTTTAAGTAGGATTTAAGAATTAATATTGTTTAAGTTATTGCAAATAAAAATGAAACACTGAATGTTCAACATTTACTTACTGCGGAATAAGTTGGTCGAGGTGGTAATCTATAATTTTGGATAGTGTCGTCCCAGCATTTGGAGTCAAATCGAATCCAACTAGCTCAGACATTTCTTCCCAGTGCCCTTCAGTCAATGCTGGATTGCATAGTATTCCAATGATAGGTACATATTGCTTAAAAATAAAACTCCAGTCATTTTACTGTGTTGTAATGAACGAGTACGATATAATGTGTTACCTTAGGGGTAACATAATACAATCATATAATTTATTATATTTCTAACACATATATTCAAAAATATACTTAATTTGAACATTTACATAGAGATCATTAATAACTGTTTTTTTTTATTTACTCAATACTTTTTCCCGTACCTATACAGAAACTGACAGTTTTTAATTCGGTAACTAAACTGAGAACTTAAGCCTGTGATATTTTTATGCATATGTTAAATTTCTAATGATTGGTACTCCCGAACTCTCAAAATTCGATTTTTCGGTATCGACACAAATCAAAATTCTATCAATATCATATACATGGTCAAAATTGCAGCGTTATTTGTGTCAACCATTTAATTATTGTTTTTGTATTGTGCCTCACCTTGAATTCTTTCATACTATTCACAGTTTGATATGCTATTTTCAATGGCGCTGGCCATAAATTCATGTCGGCGTCGTCGATGATGCCCTCGTACCTCTTGCTGTAGTTTTGCGCCAACATTTCTTTGCACTTTACTCTGAACACTTTTTGTGTTTTTACCGCTTCTCTGAAAACCATCAACATTAACCGTAGCTACACAGACTACCAGATAGAAAAAAAAATTGTTTTTCATACTTGTAGAACTCATCGACTTCGAACTCAATGTCAGATAGTCTCAGCTTGTCGAAATCGCCGTGCATCCAAACGTTCAACCTGAGAAACCACTTGTAGGAAAACGTTATCAAATCTACAAACGGTTTTGTAAAATCCTGCGGACATATCATAACCATGTTATTATAAGAACAAAAACATCAAATATATGTTGTTAACGCACTTTAATCTCGTCGAGTTCGGGGAAAGTACTAATCGGTTTATTGAACAGTTCTTCTTCCCGATTTATCCATGCAACGGTTTCGTCGAAACTTTCTATTTTTCTGTTCAACGTGTTAAGATACTGAAAGTGGAACAAAATTAGTCAGTAGTTCCTTAGCTGTTGAACTCAGTTATGGAAATCTTAAAGTGTACGGTGTACACGTTACCAGTATGTATTCGTAGAGCTTTTTGACGTCATCTATGCGATCCAAGAACGTCAGGTGGGGCGTGAATGCGTCCAAGTCATAGTTGAGTTTGCTTATGACTCTGGCCAGAGTCTCTTCCCTGAAGGATTTGCCCGCCTCGTAATAGCTGCCATATTTAAGGAACACTGGCGCAATGTTCTGTATCCATCTGATAGCCGCCATGTGCACGTCCCAAAATGCCTTAGGCAGATTGGCGTATCGCGATAGTTCACAAGCTACCCCCGTCAGGTACTTGACTGTTTTAGTCATGTCGCTCATAAACGTGGTGCTCGCATACAACATGTACTGGCCTAGCTCGAGGAATTCTTTAGTGCCTTTTGGTTTGGACTCTGCTCTAGAGACCATTTCATTGAACTTATTGCAGACCCTGTGCGTTTCAAACAGTATATTCAGTATTGTTAATGCCGACTGATGACAATAATCGTACATTTTTTTTTTTGTTCGATACGTTAATAACTTACCAAGCTAACGAAGGCCTTAAATGTAAGCATGTCAACAACACAGTTTATATGTTTCTAGTTTTGTTTTAATTGTTAATCATTGTACAGATACTTAACTTAAAATAACTACTTAGAAAGATATACAATCAAATCACTCACGTTTCGTTGTCGTCCAGTTGTTTGGCTATGATGCTGTCGACAATCTGATCCATGTACTTCTTGGCCAGATCGCATACGTGCGATTTCATGTCTACCTGACTGATACTGAACACACACGTTTAAGTTTTATTCTCGATATATAACATATATATATATAATATAAATATCTGTTAGTTAATTACTTTCCCAGCTCGAAATCCCAATCGTCCACTAACTCCGCCGCTTTGGTCCGGTAATCGTTAAAGAAATCCAAAGTCGTCAATAACTCGTCGTACGTTTGATTTTCCTCTAAATATTTCCTGAGAATTTCTGGCCGTTGTTCATCGAGGACTTCGCTAAAATCGTTTTCTAACAAAAACTTGTAAGAATAAAGGAGACGTAAATTAACTTGAAACAACGATTTACTTACCTAGTTTTCTCAAATACGCCGTCAAATCTTTAAATATTACTTCGAGCTTGGCTGTCAATTTAATTTTTGCGTCGACCATAAAGTCGTTACCCCGTTTAATGGTGATAAATTGACTTTGTAACGGCAATCTGAAATGATACTCTAGAGAAGGTAGTTCGCTGACAGCCGTGTTCAACTAATAAGACATATTTAATTGATATATCATACAACTAACTAGCTACTATAAATGATGCGCGGGATTTTCAATTAGGTACTCAACCAATGCTCACCAAGTTCAAAACTGAACAATACTGCTCGCACACATCACTAATGCTAGGACTGCTAATGCATTTGGAACCATAAAAACTTATCTTGAACTTCAGCTTAGGTGTAGTTGACGCATTTCCAAATACATTTGCCACATGCGCCATTGATTTTACTATCAGTTGTTCCATCTAAAAGCAGCATTTTCCGGGTTAAAAAATAGTTTTAAAATTGCAATTTTTTCATTGCAAAGTTTATTTATTCAGGATTGCCCACGTAACACACGTGCCTCTAAACTAATAATTGTTGTAATGCCCCTTAAGAACTGTGGTAAAGCATTCGGCGTCAACCCTTGCATAGCATTTCGTCTGAATAATATGTTTACGATTTCTCTGTACCATTCTTTGACGAGATACGCATCGGCTTTTCGAAAATCATGTTCAATGGTCGCCATCAAATCCTTAAGGTCTCGAGAAAATTCTGCGAGTCTTAAAAATAACGTGTTGTATTATTTAATACAATGTGTTCTAGTGTTATATTATGATCTATAAAAAAACTTAAACAACGCTTATATAGTAAAGAAATAAAATCCTCAGTATATTGACAGTGTTGGGAAAAGATAACTATAAAGTTATCTAGATAAGATAACGGATAATTGAGTAATATATCATCTAGATAAGATATTAAATTATTCATTTAACATTTATTTAGCTAAAAGATAAAGATAAATACAATTTTATCTAGATAAAAAATAGATAAATTAAATTTTAACCTTCATAAAATGTTATACGAAAATGTATGAGTGAAACAAAGTATTTTCACAGATTACAGAATAATTTAATAACCAATAAGACGTAGGTACTAAGAAATGGACAGTTACGTCAAAGAACAAATTTTCCTTATATTAGATTTCGTGATTTATGGCTACTCTGTTCATTTGTCATTTATTATTTTCATGTACTCTGTTTATGTCATCTTTTATGTAGGCAACAGTAATAGTATAAATAGGTATAAAAAGTAAATACGAGTTTATCAAACTCGATAATCGATGACGGGACATTTCATTATCGGTTGAAACTATTTATAAACATATTGTTCTTTTTTGAGGCTTAACTATCGTTTTGGCCACATACGGTCTACGGACTACGGAGAGCCCACATTATGTTTAAAATGTTTATTACAAGGTTTTGTTATTTTATTTTGATTGAAAATACAAATAACTTTTTGGAAACGGCTCATTGTTTTTTGGACTTGTATTACTATTTACTATTTTACTTTTATAGTCTTTACTCTTTACCCTATATGTAGTTACTGATACAGGACTCGCGTGACATGTATATATATTTGTAAAATATAATTTATAACCATTCTGCTCAAATAAACACCTGCACTTTCGACCATTTTTTTTGTTGGGATTTTGGAAAAATATTATCAACATTAAATAAAAACTGAACACTGTAGTCGAGAACTACGAATATAAATAATAATTTATACGATAATACATATATAACTCTTATCTACTTCTACCTATTAAAAATAGGTAAAAGACGTTTTGTATAATCGACTAAAATACATTGGATTACAATGGAATATTGGACTTGTCTAACAAGCCAACCCCAATGTATTAATAATATATTCTTATATCACTAATCACTATTCATTAGGACCTAGGTGTATTAATATTTTTAGGCTAGGACTACATTATGCGTTTCGTCGGATCCCGAAACCTGTTTTTGTAAAACCCACGAATAAATAACTTAAAAAATAGTTACAATTTCTATCTAGATTAATTACCTCAGATAACCGATTTGTTTATCTAAATAAGATAATAAGATGATTTACTTTTTTTTATCTAGATAAGATGTTAATTACAATTTTTTATCTAGATAATTCCCAACACTGTATATTGATAACGCTGAAGAGGATAGCATTGCTACCGAAATAATACGCGTATACGCTAAAATGTACTATTTAGTTTATGTACTATAATGTACTATTTAGTTTATGTAGTTAAGGGTTTTTTAGATATTTTATTTCTTCATCATATTATGATGGTGACTGTAGTCATGTATTAGCGATGTGTATTCAACATTTAAAATCAAAAGAAATTGTATTTTTACTTGTAATTTTCAGCTTGTATCATAGTGTTTGGCACTTGACGTTTGGTAAAGTGTAACACGCTAATTGTAGTTGGATGAGCAGTGTGCAAACGTTTTGACAACAACTTTCGTTTTTTTAAGTAAGCGGGGTGGTTTTCGGTTTTACCCCCAGTGCTGTACCAAATGAACATCTCATCAGGATTGTATAAATACTTAGAAAGTTAGGGCTAAGACTGTCCTTACGCTTTATTAGTTATCGGGGTTTCCTGTGGTTCTTCCGCCGGTGAACGGTACGGACTCGGAATCGGTTTGACAATACCGTCGCTTTGCAATTTTCTCATCACTTTGGCATACTCAGTTTTAACTTCATCCAACATGGCATCCGACACTTTGGTTCGCTTCCAACAAACCGTTCTGGATTTCTGGAATGCAACACATTATATAAATTGAGATAAGTAAACGCCTACAAACTTATTAGAGTCGGTACCAAGCGAAGACCTCGTCCAGCAATCAAAACGGAAATTTTTAATAAATTTTAAAAAAAAATCCTAATTTAAGTCAGAGTTTGTTTGGTCCCGACTCACTTCCGTAATATGTTCTATCCACGATTGGTGAATGGGCGTGGGGTCCATCGCGTCCGCGAACGCCTTCAACTGTTTGTGATAATAACTCTGAGGCATTTTGATCACCTCAATCCGTTCTGGCGGCAAAGACGTTCTGGTCATCATCACGTCTATCTTTTGCGTCACAGCACATTCGTTCCTGGACATTAATACTCAAATATTTTAAGATGCGTTTGTGTTAAGGCTTTTATGGATTCAAATAGTATATGGATAATTTTCGGATGTATCCCCATGTCTTCAGTTTTATGCTGACGTTTCGGACTCGTTGCAGAGTCCATCTTTGAAGCGATAGTCACCGTTCCGCTGTCGAGACTATACTGACTGACTTGCTTGTTATGACATTCTCAACATATTGCTCTACCTTTTCTGCACCTGCAATTTTTAGACACTGCAGATTTGTCTATTCTTTTGCAGTCGACTTTTCTTTCGTGTTCTTTTATCCTTGTCTCTATTGCTCTTCTATTTTGTCCAGTGTAAGACTTTCTACATGAACATGGTATTTGCAATTCTGGTATTTTATCTTTAATAAATAGCGGCAGTATACAAGTGAGCCAGTCAGTATAGTTACGACAGCGGAACGGTGACTATCACTGCAAAGATGGACTCTAAGATGAATTCGGAACGTCAGCATAAAACTGAAGACATAAGTACTTATAAAAATTATCCACATATAATTTCAAGTTGGTTATGAGATCTGAATCTCAGAACCAGACAAACGTAAATCACTCTATGCCAATTTTTCTGGAGAGCATAAAAACTAAATTTACATTACATTTACATAGATTAGAGCCTACGCTCGTATAATCCTAGTTAGTTATAAAAGAAAAACGTTAAATGGAATTCCGTTGGTATGGCTTAAGCAAATTTGTTAAAAACTGTAATAACCTGGAAATTGTCATTTTTGGACTTGTGTTCGTCTAGTTTAGATGTACAGAAATGTATTCTTCGGTCAATTCATCGCGGTATATCTTAACCCGACTAAAAATATAAGCACTATTTTTTTGTTAATATTTTGTTTATTACTCTAACATTAGTAAAATATAAATATCGGTAAATTAATATAAAATACAAAAGTAAAAAATAATAAAGAAACACAAATACATACAAATGATATATCACTTGTCACATTTTCATTGAACCTTACCGTCTTTACCACACTAATTGTCTGAAATGTGTAAAAATAATTTTTATAAATCAACTTTTTTGTTCTCGTTAGCGATAAATTCCATTTTAAAAAAATAAATCATCGTTTAAAAAGTGCGACTACAGATTTTTTATTTTTTTAATCTAAATCTACGATATGAAGGTATACTCCAAACACACAAGTTTAATGTAGGATTGTTAATTGGTCGTATACAATTTAAATATCTTAAAAGTGGATGGGGTGAACTTTTAAAATTTGCCTAACGAAGTACATTTTGTGTACAGCGTCTGATTTATAGAAAAATGAAAAAAAGACACTACTTATATAGTATACGTACTTAATATGACAACTTATATTTGGCGAGTGCAAATATATGCGATTGAATTTTGTATTTTATAGTAATTTACTGCGTTTATATAATTTTGTATACATTTATTAGATTATACGACTTATTTTAAGTAGATAAAAAACAAAATATATTTACGAAAATCGTTTTTTTATTTTTACTTGTGATGAATTGTTTTGAAGATGAAATTGTTTTTGATGAATTGACCTAGAACCTTTTTTTAAAGAACATCGTCTATATATACCTACATATAATTTTTAATGATAGTACTGCGGTTGTTTAAAGTGTTGCCACATCTGACGGTTTTGCCCCTATTCAAGTATTTACTTATATCCGGCATTTTCGGTAATACCGGAACTACCGGTTCAGTCTCCAAAAACAATCTCGTTTCTCTGTCTTCGGCATAGCCACTATCAGCTATTGATTCAGCCGAAAATGTTCTCCCTGCTGTTGTAGTGTGTTTAGCCAATTCCGAAAATTTCGTTTTGGAAGTTAACGGAACAAAATGTTTACTCGACTGTGAATAGTCTCGATTCATTTTTATACTCAAGTCTGCAACAAGAGATCCGTTACATAAATTATGGCGAAGAATAGAGAAACTACCATTTCTGACCATAATATTAAAATTAATCTAACACTGCATGTGTATATCATTCTTCTTCATCGCCTTCAAAGATTGGGTCACTCTATCCTCCTTTTTCACAGTTCTCTATTAACTAGTTAGTTTAAAATGTAAAAGCGTTTCTACGTGTATAGCGTAAAAACAATAAATACAAGGCGATATTGTTTTTTTTTTTTTTTTTTGTGAGATTATGTAAATTTATTTTAAACCGTACTATAATAAGGGAAATATCCTTTCATACTACTTTGAACATTATTATTTGGTATGGGCGCTTATCATTAAGAAACTTTCGGGTTAACCCCCCCCCCCTCCACAACTATTTTTTCCCATGTCGAGACTTATAAAAATATTATTAAATAGAGTTACCTACATGAACTCGTAGACGCTACAAAAATGATTATTTTACTAACATTGCGTACTACTAAATCTTGCCATAACAAAAAAACATCAAATATTAAAAAATATTTGCAAAACGATGAAATATTATATAAAAATCGACTAAAGCTCTTGTCCTCTTGTCCGATTTTTTAAAATGTACATATTGTAATACCGAAAGGGAAACTTTGAATTTCACAGACGATGTAATTTTGCGACGCTCTTATTCCTTTCCATAATATTATAATCAACTGGTGTCAAATATTTATGAATTCACATCATCAACATATCAAAGCAGCAGCTTAATTATTCAACAAAGTAATAAAGAGGCCTTCATAATCCGTTATATCATACTCTAATTACACTACTAAGATAATATCAGCATAATTTAGATTTCTAACATATTTTGTCTAGCAAATTAAAAAAAACCAGTACAGTGGGGTCGGGGCATAGTGGGGACGGAGCATAGTTGGGTCGGGGCATAGTGGGGACGGGGAGGTCACAGGTTTACAGGAATTTTTAAATCTGAAAGTGATAAAATCACTTTCGAAAAAACGCTTCGATGCAAATTGGTAGTTAGTATTTTCAAGCCAGTACAGTCCAAACCAAGCACAGTATAAACCAGCAAAGTTAGAAAGTTTTAAATTAAGGTTCTGTATTTACAAATGAGCATCAAAGCGTTAATTTGAAAGTGATTTTATCCGAGAGGACTAGTACAGTAGAGTATAGGCATAATGTAATCAAAGCAATGAGGAAACGGAGAGGTCACAGATCTACAGGAATTATTATAAATAAAAGTGATAAAATTGAATAAAATCAAAAAAAATATTTAGACATGCTAGAACAATATTCTGAAACAGATTCGGGATTCAGCAAATAACAATTTAAAAAATATGTGTACCTTGGTTTTTGTCCAAAAAAAGTCAAATTTTATTGAACTGTATAGTAGTAACAATAAAAATAATAATAATTTTTAACAGAATTCATAAAAACAAAAAATACATTACTGTAGGTAAGACGATTAATCCAACACCTCCCCCGAGTCCAAAACTCAACACTGTTTCAATATCGATTTACTCAAAATACAATACATACTCAAGTATTACATTTTTACAAAATAAATATTAGAAAGTAAACGACAAATATAAATCTTAAAACAAAATAATTTCTTCACAAAAACTATTCATACCTATGTGTATTATTATAGATCTAACGGAAACTTAGTTGTTATGGTCTATGACAATAACTATGACAACTGTAAGCGGTTCGTAGAAATTCTGATATGAGTACTTCCGGTTCAAATACTACTACCGAGTAAGTTAGTATAGCCTTGTAGTAAGGTCAGTTTAAAAATTAACATATGCCACTTTCGTTTGAAAGTTAAATATCATGTATACCTACCTATATTTTTGTAATATCCAAAATTTAAAAACGATCAGTAAAAATAACATCTTCTAATACATAAATAATACACGTATTAATATATTGTAAATAAACTTGATGTATTTATTAAATTAGATTTAATGCAAATACTGTTTGAATAAACATTTAATAAAAAATTACAATTAAACAATCGGATTTTTAAACTATTATAAAAAAAAGTTACCTATGTTAAAAATCCAACTACAATGGTACTTTAATTTAGTGTAAGATTTGTTTTTTAAATGTATTTTTTATATATCAATAGGATATTTTGTTTGTTAGGATTAGGAACAAAAAAGTATGTATTCTTTTTCTTTAGATTTTTATATATTTTCCTTTTTAATTAATAATTTCTATATAGTACTTATATGTTTATAATAGGTACCTATATTAATAATAATATTGAAAAACGCGTCTTTTTATTTTGAAACCTATCCAAACATATTTAGTGGTTAATTTACCATAAAAAATTCAAACAATTATACTTGTCTATGTGTTTCGTTGTTATTGTTAAAAATTTATCGAAAAAGCGGTAAAATAAATGTTTTATCAGTCTTAAGATTAAATTCGTATACCTATAGAAAAAAATACATATAAACCCATTTTCAAAACGTCCAATTAGTTATTGGTACACTTTGAAGAAACGACGTTGTTAATAGTTTTTTAGCTATAACTCTAGATTTAATTAATGAATTACTAATAATTTTGCAATTAGTTTTTAATCAAGTGGCTTATTTTTTAAGTGTGACAGGCGACCAGAAAAATCTAAAAAAACTATTTAGTACAAAAAAATCAAAACGTTTTGCCCATAAAATAGATTTGTTCCAAAATACTAAGGAATAATTTACATTAATTATTATTGTAACTATATTTATTTAAAAGGAATGGGGTAAGTAACGAGTTTATATTTTGTAGGAACTAGGAAAAGAATACCTAATTACTTTGGAAGTTTGAACTAGTTTTTTTTATTTCATAGAAATTAGAAACTAGAAATAGGACTGTAATTACTTTATAAAAGGAATGTTAACAATACTACATTTATGACGTTAGAGCTATTGCAAAATTCAAATTTACAATAATAGAGTAAATAATACCCTTTAATAATACTCTTTATCTTAAGTTTAATTAATAATATTCACTAACCACTGTCTTTAACACTGATACATGTTCTTTAACGTTTGCCGCCCATAGTTCTGTACAGACATAATCTACTTAAGAAACTCGTATGAAACTGTAGCAGTGCGAGATTTAACAACTCAAATAATTTTACACAAAGTCTTAATCAATTGTCTTAAATCCTGTTACAAGCCAAATAAGTTTGATTTTGATTTAAGTTCTAACAGGCCCAATATTACGTAGCCAGTGGATTCACTATATATGCTTTCAAATACATTTATAAGCATGCCTGTACCTAGATAGTAAAAACTAATTATATCAAATAATGTTTTCTTCCTTTAACGAATAAGTTTCTTACGGTTAAAGTAGATCATTCAAATTTAATTCAACTTGATTAAGACATGTAGTCAACGTGTGTGTCGAACTTGGTATTGGAGGACTTTATTAGAAGACATGGTGAGAATAATTTTTAAAATAATTTTTTTGTGAGAAATACATTTTTTTTATAATTATTGGGAACAATAATTTTTATTTTACTGTAAAACGGAACGAATAGATAGGTACATTCGAGTTCAGTAATCAGACCTATTCAATTTTTATTTTAATAGCAAACAGTAATAAATTATGAATTAAAAACTTTAAAATTGTTTTTCATGTATCAAATACTTTTTTAATTTAAATACAAATTTCTGTATTTTATTTTAATTTTTTGATTCAAAATACATAATTTCATTTGCATTTAAATAAATAATTTGAGTTAATAACTAAATTTTTCTTAAAATTTGAATTTTTTGTTTTTTTAATTAGTGAATTCCAAATAATAGGAAATTCTCATTCTGTTTTTTTTGTTTTATAACTTAATTTGTTCAGTTAATCATTTGTGATGAAAATGTATAAATGATTTATAAGAAAAAACCTTAATAACACACAAGGATGGGCAGTATTTGAAATATGTAAATGAAATACTTTTCAGTACTTTGTGGAACAAAAACTATTTTTTTTCAATGCATTTTTGAAAGTAAATACTAGAATGTTTACTTATTAAAAATGTATCCTGCTTATTAAGACTTCAATACAAATAAAGATTGACTTTTTAAAATCTTTTTTAATTCTTTTTGCAGTAGCTATACTGGCAGTTATAAAACATAAAAATGTTACATTTAAATTCCTCATTAAAAAGTACAAATGGTGTCATCATAAATTTACTTGAATTTCAGAAATCTTTTCTAAAACTCTTTACACAAAAAATAACAGATAATTATAATATAATAACAAACACGTAATAAAAAACAGTGCATAAAATACCGATCACTTATTATAGTAATATAAATGATTCAGAAAATATTTCATCGCTAAGTATAGTTACTTAAACAATAACATAGTAACATATCATGGATAGTGACAAAATGTACATAAAAACTAATAATTTACAAAACATAAACCATGTCTTAGTCATAAAATTTTGTCAACTAGAACCATTCTTTTATCACATATTTTCATTCCAAATATTTTGCTTTAGCTGAGCATCTCGTATCTTTTTCTCTAAAAAAAACAAAATTATTGCAATTAATTCTACACACTATCAACAAAAACAAATAAAGCTCGGTTTACAATGAATTTTTTTTTTAAGAAAATGTTTAAATGTATTAATTGAAATATTATATGAAATATTACACTACAACCATTAAAGGTTTAGGTAAACTCCTTGTAAATTTATTTCAAATGGAAAATAAAGACAATAAAAAATAAGTTATTCTTCAATATTTCCAACAAAAACCTTTTATCAATAATTAAAGTCAATAAAATTTTTTTTTTTAAATGTACTTAGTAAAATCCGAGTAGCTTTTTAAAAAATCAAATTCTTTAAAATATTTAATGTCACATAAATGTATAAAAAGATTCATAAGAAATATTGTGAAACGTTTATTTTTTATTTACATCATTATTCTATGAATAAATCTGTAAATTCCAAATTTGTTTGAGATATATATATATATATATATTATTAAGCAGTTTTATTGTATTAACCAACTTTTTGAAAAACTATGTGAAGAAATTTTTTAACACGTAAACCAAACTTTAAATAAATTTTCCAAAAATCTCAACAAATACCTTTGGCGTTGGCCAACAATGTACGCTCAGCATTCAATGTTTCGGGCGTAACATTTAATCTTAAACCTAGAGCACTACTGACCAAACGTCTAGCCATTGCTGTGCATGTCTTAGGTCTAGTAGCTGGAAGTGGTGCAATCGTTTCAGCTTTTAATTTAGACTCTCTAATTGCATCTTTAAGTGGTCTAGTTTTCACAAGTGCAAAAGGTGTGTTTAATGCTTGATCAGCTACAATAGATTAAACAATAAAAACTATTATTTACATATTGAAAGCATACCACATCTATCAATCTTACCATAATTTGGACTCTCAAATACGGCCAATGCATGTGTATCATCTACCCAGACGATGTCAAAATGTTTTCTTCGAAATGCTGCAAACTGATTCATCAAATCGACTGTTTTGAGTTGGGGTGAAAAACCATAGACCTCTATAACACATTCTCCGTCGCCAGAACGTTCTTCCACAGTTTGGTAACTACGATAATCTTCTTCGGTTCGCTTCACTTGAACTTGACCCATCGATGTGACTATCTGAAAGTAACAAAAAATGAGCAATTAGTAATATGATTATATTACTAAGTCATATTTTTAAAATCAACCTGCTCCTATAAATAAAATATAGCATAAGAGCCTTAATCATAGCCATCAAAATGTAGATAAAAGAATTCAAATAATAATAGTACAAATGTTTACTAAAAACAATTTATAATTTTTAATGACTTCAACTTTTCAATAGAAAACCACTCTTCTATAATTTTTCCTAACCTGTTATTTTTCTGTAAATCAAAAAAAGAATTTTGTTTTTTTATCAAAAAAATATATATTTAAAAAAAAAGACCACCTCTTACTTTTTTATGCATGTTTATACTCTTAACAAAAATTGTAACCTGTGGATAGAATAAAAAAAATTTTCTTTACGAGTACAGGCATACATAGAAAAGTGGAAGGTGAGTACGCACAAAATATACTTCTATAATACTACAGCACTGACATGCCACTTCAATTAAAATATTTACACAAACAAGTTAACAAAACATACATATAATCTTACTTCTTTCATAAGTAACGGATGAATGTAGTCATCTTCTTTGTCAAATAAATCTTCCCAACTACATTCTTCAACATTTAAAATTTTCTTTTTTTTTTTCTTCTTTTTTTCCTTGGTTTTTTTTACTAATGTTTCTTCTACGATAGGAGATTCGCATTTTGGTGATTCTAAACGTTGCTCGTTATTTAATATTTCACTCAAATTTTCAACTTTTTTTGAATTGACACTTTCTTCATCTGTATCTCTGATAGTTCCACTGGTAAAACTATCGTCTAAAGAGTAGTTAGGACAAAGTGTTTCGTGTTCCTGCGATAACAATGAAAGATCATTGATTACACTCGATTCAAAATCTAACTTTTCCATATTGCCTTTAACTTTAACAATTTCAGTATTGTCATCACTGATCAACTCATTGCCAATATTTTCTTCTTTAGTCAAATCCAAAACGGTAGTCATTAGGTGATCTCCATCAACAGACATTTTATTACACAAGTCCGGTGAGTGAGAGTTATTAATATGTATAATATTGCTTGTGGGTAACGAACACTGAAAGTCTTTTGAGATCATCGAGGCAGGAACACTTGTTTGATTATTTGTTGCCGTATCAGAAGTCGTGTTTGAAAACTCTAAACATTTGTTCTCTTTATTTCCTACTATCTTTTGACTAATAATTTCATCTACATCACTACTAAAAACCTTTTCATCAGTTAAAGAGTTTTCTGTTTTAGCTGTCAATGCAACTTCTATTGATCTATCAACAATAGTTGTGTTATTTAAGGATTCTGATTTCTGCAATAACAGTTCATTATCTTCAAAACAAGGTACGTTAACTTGATTTAATTCATTTATACATTCTGAACTTGGTAGACCAGACTTAGATTTAGTACGTTTATCACATTTTTTTACTAAAGAATTATCGCTATCGATTTGAGATATTATTATATTTTTACAAGGTTTCCTCATGGTAGGTGAACCAGAAGACGACAAGGTAGTAGACTTAATGTTGGAATCATGACTAGACGCTCGTCGTGCTTTAGGCACATAAATAGGAATATCTGGTCTTTTGCTTGGCTTACGTGGAGTAATCCTGTAACATTAATTTTGTTTTATATTAATCTTTTAAGTAGTATAAAACGTTATTTTGTAAATGTTATAAATCAATTCATGTAAAGAAAAACTAAATAAATATACCTTGTGTATCTTAAACACTTAATTCCGTTAATATTACCTTGAATTGTTGTCAGTTTGCTTTGGCTTAAGCAAATGAAAAAGTTTTTCCTGAGCTTTTCGTTCAATTGGTGTTCTATACGGACGTTGTATTTCGATAGTACAATTTTCATTATTTGGTTGTTCCATTTCTGTATTGCAAATTCTATTAAACAAACAAAATTATTTTATTAATTAATGTTTTGGTAAAATGTAGACAATTAGAATAAAGTAAAATGCCTAATTTACTAATATTTATACCTAGTCTCTAGACTAGACAATTTGAGCTTTTTAGTTATTCTGACCAACCTTACTATGTTTTATTTATACACAAACATGAATTTAATTCATTGTTGAAAAAAAAATTAATACAAAGAAAATTAGTAAATAGGTAGCCAAAAAGCTATATGTTTCTTATTAAATGTATACATGTCTCTTAACAAATTACCATTTATATAGTAATAAATAAATATTAGTAATTTATAACTTAAAATAACTTGTAATATTGATATTATAATGTGTGATAATACGCAATATTATCACAAAACTATATCCTAAATTTCACATTATTAAAAATACATTTTTAATGTAAAATAATTTACCATTAAAATTAATTAAATTTATGAATGATGAAAACTAATACTGAACATGTGAAAAGTAGGATCAACAGAAAGTTTATCACAAATTCATAGCTAGTTTCAAAATTAAAATTGGATTACACAATTGGGTACACAAATGGCCTATCAGCTTACGGCATATAATTTTTTTATAAGCATAAAAACACTGAGAGACAGGTGTCCCTTTTAAGTGTTTGACTATTACCACATTACCAGACACCTTTTTTTACGACTTTTTTACCATCTTGTAGTATTTTTTCATTGATTATGAATCTAAAGTGAAAAACTGAAATGTATGGTGCGGCGGCTAACGGCTGTAGAGGCAAGCCGCTGCACCACCAACTGTCTATTGTTATACATGGAAATTTGCAAATTTCAAGTAACTATAACTTTAGAGCTAGAGGAGTCGCCGATTTTTTACTTCTGTTTCGTAATCAGCATAAAATGTACTCCAAAATGATAAAAAAAAATGGGTGTCTTAGTTAAAAAAAAAGTGCATTTATTCCAAAATGTAATCAGATGAATAATCAAACCTTAAATAATACTCGACAGCAAACAAAAAATTCTTCAATAAAGGTATGCTGAAATAGCTAGTGATCTGTTAGGTATTTATAAACTGACTTACATTGGCTGAATAAACGAATGATAAATTACGTTGCGTCTTCCGTAACTCGTTCCAATAGATAAAGAGTTCAGCTCTCTAAATTGACTCTGAATCAATGCATGTATTAAAAAGCGTTTACGCGGATTTAATGGTGGGAAAACCAACACAATATCCCTGTAAAAAATGCATAAAAATAGGTTGAGGCACAAACATTTACGGATTTGTATTTGTTAAGAATACAGAAAATTAACCAATACGATAAATTTACTTTTTGTTTCCCGAAACGGAAATATCGACGTAACGTCTTACGTCGACTAAGACGGTCTCTAAGAACGAACATTCGTCCGATCGTAAATTCAACACATCCAATGTCTCCATAGACTTGTATCACGAGAAACTCGATCGCATTTCGTAAACATCGATTAAAAAAAATTAACTTATAAGTAGCTCAACGATTAGATTTTTTTAACGTTTGGTTATACGATACGGGAACAGAATTGCCTTTAAAGTTACACTTGCAAGTTCCAGAGATAGGGTAATCGCAAGTCGCCAATGATAACAGCACAATATTATCAAACATATGGCGGACGGCATTTGTTTATTTTTATAGAACGTCTTTGATAACTCCTTGAACGCGAAAAACAAAGGAATGTAAACAGTATTGCCTCCAATAATTTTTACGAAATAAAATCTAATGTTATATTAAACCTATATAATAATTATTGTAGTAGAACAATTATTATAGTAAATACCCAGATTATACTTCAACCATCACTGTATTGTAGTCTTTTAAACGTGTTCTCTAGGTGTACTTTAAATGTTTGGAAAACTCTTAAGCAATACTTGTAGTTATTTATAGTAAAGAAATAAAATATTTAAATTGACTAATACAATGTTCTCCCTTCTGTTTTTAGGTTTCTAGGGCCGTTTGTCAGTTTTTTATTACATACACATTCGTCTTCGCTTTCGCGTGTACAGTGTAGTTAACCTTATTATCGATATTAATTATTATAACAAATATAGGTATATGCAATTCCAACGACAGATAACATAGGTACTTACTGATATTTGTAAACACGCGTGTCAGTGTAAAGGTATTCGTTGCTTTAGAATAAACATGAATAACACGAAATAGTATAATAATATCAAGGAAGTATAGTGTATGTCATAACATGCTATTTGTTTGCACTATTATAACACTAAAAATGTTTTTAATTTCACTTTGCTGTATTTTACGTTTATCACAAGGTGGATTTATATCCACCTTGGTTTATTTATCCTATTTTATCATAACTTCTAACTTGAATAATCTATCTGCATTAATGGTTTACGTACATAAGTATTGTTCTGTTGTTTTTCTTTATAAAAAGTTATTAGTGTTTTTTTTATATGGAAAAATATATTTCCAACCATAATATTGTGTGTACTAGATACTTCCTTAAATTTTTTTTTTTTGAGTACCACAACATTTATTGATTTACCATTCAAGTCCATAACAGATCGTACCAGTAACCAAGGTTTTAAAAATGTGTTAGGTACAAATTTTAAATTACTAAGTCCTCAACAGAAAAAACAATATTACAAGTAAAAAACCTAATGCAATTTATAAAATCATAAGGTCCTAATGTCCTATACGCATGCGCCGACATTACATCGACCTTATCAAAGTAATGATTTGACTTTATGTGATAACGGCTTTAGTGACGTTTTAACTTTTAAATTATCATTTATCAATGAAACCATAATAATTAATGATCATAATTTTATTTATAAAATAATATAATTCTAATGTTATTGATTTTTTTTAAATCGTAAATTAATTAATTTAAAAACTATAATATAATTATTTATTTTACCTTCAAGCAAGTCAGAACCATATTGTTTTGTTGCTATTATGGTTATAATACATTTTATATATTTTATATTGCCACTAGAATTTTTGATAGCTAACATGATTTACTTTAACATTTCAGTTGGCCTTATTCAATTTACAAAGCCTATTAACCATAATCATTTTGTCCATATGTACTTGCACGTACTTGCGTCAACTAGTACCAAGCATTATCGATCGGAATAAAGTGGGGTAAGTAGAAACTATATAATAACGCTTAAAATAATAATTATTTATTTACTTCAAATTAAATATTAGTTTTTTCATTTAAAAGAAAGCTTTGCATCTTACTTTTTTTCGTTGCATTTTGTTTGACGTTATAAAAAACAAATAAAAATAAGTCAATTTATTAAAACTCGCATAATTAATAAATACTAGTTCTGTAGATAATACTAAAATAAGTAAATATAAAAATGATTTACATATTTTTTTAAACTTAATTGATTTTCAAAACAGTATTAACAATTCTAAACTGTTAAAAACAATAACACACTAATAGAGATTAAAATTTTCAAACCACTGAAATCGCTTTGTATACAAATTATATTTGATCCATTTACAAAGAACTGATTTGTGCTATAATTCAGAAGTTTATGTTGTGCATTCAAATAATAATGAATAATTTTTACTTTTTCTAGGCCAATGGGCACATTCTGGAAGCTAGCTAGAATTGGTGAACGTAAAAGCCCATATGTGTCGTTTTGTTGCTTTGCAATGGCATTCAGTATAATATTTTGGACCTAAGTATACCAAACAAAAGAAATAAAAGAAAAATGCGGTTAATTTTTTAAAAATTATTATAAATGTATATTTTTTTAATGGCGTATTTTGTGTAATTATTAATTGTCTATTAAATTATGTATGTATATATTTTATTTTTACTTTTCATAAATAGTACATACAAAAACATTTACCAACGTTAATCAACAGTACAAAAACAATTTTTTAGTGTGCTTAAAAGTTGCTAGGATTCAATAGTTAAATTGGACACTAGTATATTTTATTAATATTAACACATGTTTTGTTCAACGCATATGTATCATACATATAAAGGTACTAATATCCTAGATATGGATATTTAAGTTTTGCACATAATATTCTTATTATAGTATTAATATATTGTTGCACAAATATTTGATTTAACAACAAATGATTGTACATAAAGCATTTATTTTTAATACAGATTTATTACATGGTTAAAATTTGTTTCTATGAATTTTATTATTATTATATTTATTTTTTATTTAGACAAATAAATTAATTTTATTATGATATAATATAATATAATATTATTATAAATAATATTATAAAATATAATAATTTATGAATAATATAATAAACAAAGTACTAAATTTTTAACAAAATAAATATTTTATACTTCTTTAGTTAAAAGAGAATGCCATACATACCATTCTTTTGTGTAAAAACAAGGGTTAGCATCCTTTAAATATCTTTAAATATCTCTTGTTACACTATGCATTATATGTTAATAGTTTATTCATACATATTTACAATCTTGTGTTGTAAATTAAGTTTTTTTTACTAGTTAATAGTAAATATTTACATAATTAATTTTTTACTTATATTAATTTTTTAAACACATCACCATTTATCATTATCATTAACGTTAATCGCTATAGAACTCCAATATCATGTTTTGTAAATTATTTAAAAAAATTATTTTCTATAACCAAATATAATTAATATATAGTGTGCAAACAGTTCCCTCTCAGGTTAGCGATTATTTGGAGGTGAAAAAAATAGTTAAATGGTAACGATTATTAACTGATACATATTACAAATATTACAAAAAATAAATAATACAAAAATATTTACTGATAAATAATACAAATGTTTCTAAATTATAAATACATATTTGGTTTTAGTTTATAACCGTAAAGCATGTTCTAGAAAAGTTGGAATGGTGCATTTTAGAAATGGTTTTTGATCGTGTATACAGAGTGATCAATTAATTTTTTAAGTGTTTTTTATGATAATTACATAATTATGTAACTTATAACAGTGCAATTTTAAAATCACAAATAACATTATACGAATAAAAATATAATCGAATTTACTAACAACAAATTATTTGAATACATTTGAGCTTGAATAATATTATTAGTGGCTTATTCAAATAAATTGTTACAAAATAATTGTTATTTAAATAAAAAATTATTCGAATAATATCCAATTCTAGTTCGACTATACTTGATAGTGAAGTGGACCGTTAGTGTTGATAACGTCCATTCGTTTTGGAGTATCATTACGAAATGTTAACGTAACAGTCTCGAAAATATAATGACTTAAAGTTTGGACGTGTGAAGTGGATTGATAGATATTGCGTGTGGATGTAAGACAATTTCTAAACTTTGAAAAGTGAACAGGTGTGAGACCAGCCTCCTGCAACTTAAGTATACGGCTATCGGATATCCTATTTTATGTACTTAGATGGTTGCTGGCTGAAATGTGTGTTACTATGCTGAAACGACTGCGATAACAACCGTCTCAGACTTCAGTTGTTTTTCAGCTTTTCACGAGCAAACGACATTTTTGTTGGAAATACAGTTTTTGCGTTTCAAGTATTATATCTAGTATTCTGAAATATGTGCTCTATGGAGAAGATTTTGTGGGCCGGCGGCGCCGTTCTAACGGTGACTGGCGGCGGTTACCTGCTCTATAAGGTACGCGTATGAACATACATATTGTTTGATGACATGTTCAACGACACACCTTCGACCAGGGCTCGCTGTTTTGTCAGTGTCAGCACAATAGTTATTAGTTTAAATAAAAATTGTTCTCGTGTTCAAGGCCAAAAAGAAATGGTGGGACGCGGCACCGGTAGAACCCGCACCGGTAGAACTTGCACCGGCTGAATCCGCACCGGTAGAACCCGCATCGGTAGAACTTGCACCGGTAGAACTTACACCGGTAGAACTTGTACCGGTTGAACTTGCACCGGCTGAACTTACACCGGTAGAACTTGCACCGGTTGAACTTCCACCGGCTGAACCCACACCGGTAGAACTTCCACCGGCTGAACCCGCACCGGTAGAACTTGCACCGGCTGAACTGCACCGGTGAACTTCACCGGTAGAACTTGCACCGGTAGAACTTCCATCGGTAGAACTTGTACGGGCTGAATCCGCACCGGTAGAACTTGCAACGGCTGAACCCGCATCGGTAGAACTTGAACCTGTAGAACCCGCACCGGTAGAACTTGCATCGGCCGAACCCGCACCGGTACAACTGGCACCTGTAGAACCTGCACCGGTAGAACTTGCACCGGTAGAACTCCGCACCTGTAGAACCCGCATCGGTAGAACTTGCACCGGTAGTACCTGCGTGTTACTACCACGACAGATACGGGTCGGCGGCGCACAGATGTCGTCCTCCGTGCGGCTACAGGCCAACTGAGGCAGGACAGCCGGAGCCACCGTGTGTGTACCACAGGCGACACGGCGCGGATGCAGTAAACTGCATACTGCCATGTGGATTTGCAGGAGTGCAGGAGTACGGCATAGGGGAGCCCGTACCATACTGCATATACCATCGACGGTTCGGTCCGGAGGCGGTAAACTGCCGAGCCCCGTGTGGCTTTAGGGCCATACACTGAGGTAACACATTCATTAGTTTCCATAAAAAGCAACATACATGCAACGCGTTGATAATATTTCTTTGTCAGTCTCCTTTTTTTTTCTCTCTGTTAATATTGAACCCAGGTATATTTAACTTGTTTGACTCTACTGAACTCATATCTACAGACTTTCAGGTGTGGAAAAACGGCCGTACTATCTTGTTGGAGACCACTACAATTATTAGTTGTCTACGGCCGCCGTGCTTGAACCCATCACGTGGTTTTTTCTCTCTATCTATTCAAGCTGTCATCCCTGTAGTCGCATTCATTTTGTTGGCCGCCGTCTCAGCCATCCTCGCCGTGGCCGTATTCATGTGGTTGGCCGTCGACTAAGTTTTGTAAATTATTAGTTATTCCCTTTCTCGTGAAAACCTTAGTGATACTAATACACTTAATTAATGATCACCTAATTAATATATACTGTGTTAATACGGATGTTGTTGTTTAATATGTTAGGGAACTCGGGGCAATTTCCCTGGTGTCGAAACACTTAAGCTAAAATATTATGTACTTACTCGAAATAAGTTTATCGACACAAGGGCTTTAAAAACCAAGTCGCTATTTTACTACTTTATCTATTTTACTAGAGCTTTGCTCTAGCTGGGGGCTCCGCCCCCAGGCCCCCGGGTCGGGCGGGTAGGTCACAGATTCCTGGTACTGTACCCGGCTACGCCGGGCACGCTCACGTCCCCTCGCTGCAAAGTATTTTCGGGGAGGTCACAGATTCCGAGGGGGGTGCCCGGCTGCGCCGTCCACGGTGTCGAGCCATCGCAATACGTCTTAAAGGAAGGTGTATTTTTTAGGCATCCTGTTACAATAAGACATCATTTAGAGCAGTATCTATTTTTTTTTACATGAGTTGATCTTCCCCATACTTCACATGCGTATTCCCCGACTGAAAAACAGAGGGACATTGCAGATACCCGTAGGGTGTGGGGTTGTGCTCCCCATTTTTGATCCTATTAATTTTCGGAGTAAACCGTTGGGTGTGTTCATCTTTTCGCAGTGATATTTATACGTTAAAGTTCTGTCAAGAGTAACTCCTAAATATACAGGTGTGTCGCAGTGTAGTAGTGCCTCACCTTCCCATGTGAATTCTAATTTACGATTGGCTTCCCTGTTTCTCAAATGAAATGCGCATAGAAGTGTCTTATTCGGGTTTGGTTTGAGGTAGTTACTTGTATAATATTTGCTCGTGTTTTCCAAAGCGTTGGTGATCTTTTCTTCAATTGTCTCGAAATTGCTGTCCTGCACAGCTATTGCTGCGTCGTCTGCATAAATAAAATGTTTAATTTTATCGTCATTGTGATTTGTGCCTTACCAATAAGAAATTGTTATTTCAAATGTATTGTTCTATCCTGAAGTGCACTATCTAGATTTCAGATATTTACAGACTTTATATGCGAAATGTGCTTTTATTATAATAATAATAATATAACTAAAGTGTCTATTTTAAAAATCAGCTATAAACAGTTTTTGAACATTTTCACAAAAAAACATATAAGTAAAATGTTTTTAAAAAAAAAGACCTCAATTATAATATATATTAATATAGTATATAGGTATAGAGTATTTGTTTATACATTTTTAAACATGGAATAGCCAATAAGCCTAATTACAGTAAGGTAATTTTGTAATAAATAAGTACAGCGTATGACGTGAATGATTTTAAACAATAAATATTATTTTTAGATTTAAAAAAAAGATACATTTTGCCATTTGTTATTGGTAGGCATATTTCTTAATTTAGAACTGTATAAGTTACCTATAAACATTTCTTAAAGTTATTTTAGGTCAGCTTGTAAGCCGTATAATAAAAATTCGTGAAACGAAGTGCGTTTTCCGAGACCAGTTAAAAAGTTTTAGAAAGACTGAATTATGTATGTATAATGAACATAGCTGGAATTCAAAAGTCGCACAAAAGTATAAGATATGTACATATCTTATAGAGTTTTCAATCTAAATAAACCCTGTATATTTTCCTAGAACTCTACCTATATAGTTACTCAGTTTTATATAAATGTCTAGTTTTACTGGGAAAACAATGATTAACTAATGCATTTACAATATTCTAACTGAAGCACGTGTCAATGGATAGTGCCTAAAGCTATTTTTAGTTTAAATTGAGCAACATTTTTTCGAAATCAATTCGAAGAAAAATTTCCTGATTAGAAAATACCAAACTGGATTCCAAATAAGTCAACCAAAGTAAAGTATACTAAATACTAACGTAATATACTTTAAAGTATTGAACTATTAAGTAGGTAAATTTATATAAAATTAAAAATCTTTAAAAGAAGCCTAAATTTCCGTAAAAAAATTGTATAACTTATAACCATTAAAAAATGATAAAATGCAATGACAAATGTGAAATGTCTTTAAACATAAGTATCTAACGTAATTTACCTGATAACCCTCCGTATCGAAATATAGATAAAATCTTTAATTTTCTATAGGCATACAAATGATGAAAAACTTTTTTAAATAACCCATACAAAAAAGTTTCATTAATTTATAGTATGAACAACCTAAAGGTGTTCAAAATTAGCACATGTCCTAGGGAGACCTCAGAGTTGGGCAACATTCGAATGAAATTGTATTAAAAAAAAGTTAAATAATTTGTTGAATTTATTGTTCTTTCGTTATAAATTCAGAAAATTCAGTTATCGTGAATATACCTTTTTGCCAATTAAATTTTGTAATTTGTGATCGGTAAAGCAAGAGTATTTAATTAATTATTTTCATTACTCCTATTTTTTTTATTGTTATTTGTGAATAATTGAATTAATAAATAATGTTATTTAAATAACATAGCTACTTAAACAATTATGGATTTATGATACAATTATTAATAAAATATGTTCTTCAAGCCAAGAACTAAATTGATTACTTAAATAAATTCGAATAACATTTTTTCGTTACGTTATTATTTTATTAGTATTATGAAAACATATTTGTAATTTTATTAAAAAAGGTTTAATTTTGCATTTATTTATTTAATTTTAGTACGGACAAGCTAAGCCAATTAAAATTCTTAACCGATAACTAAGATGAAATAAAACAATGTTTAGGCACCCGTATAGGTTTCAGCAGTCGCCCCAAAAGAGCAGCCAATACTGTTCCGAATGTATCCTACTTTAACGAATGAAAATTTATTTTTTATTTATTTGTTATAACAAAAAATAAAAGAACATATTTTTATCGTCCATTAAAAATGTAATTATTTTGTATTTTATTCGTTATATCTTATTCCAATAAAATCTGCCTAACACATACTTAAAAACTTTAAAATCTGCAAGTTGTAGGTATAAGACTGAATAGTATAAGACTATATGGTTTATTTTGGACTGATTTATGATGTCCGAAAGATATGTGACTCTATTTTTGTTTACACACTTTCCAATCACACTGTGTAATACATTGCATTGCATACATACATTACATTGTAATGTATGTCTAATACCTCAACGGCAAACTGACTTGCATCTTGCACTATAGTTTAATATCAGTTTTGCGATTTTCATATCATATAGAATAAATACATAATTACATTTTGTCGAATTTATGATAATATACCTTAAATATTACAAATTATTATAGATTGATCCAAAAGATTGCACTAAAATGTATAAATGATTTATAAAACCTTTTACTTGATATAGCTCACCAGCTGTGTAGTAAATGATAAATAAATAACAACGTAAACATTACCGCTTGTCATATTATTATGCTTTTATGATCCGGAGCTCTTTGTTTGCAAGTAGTTTTGTTAACAAATCCCAAATGTTAAAACAATGACCATAAATCAACATATATTTGCAGGTCAATAATCGCATCGTATTACTATTTTTTTTTCTATTTGTTTCAGTTTAAAAAGTTGAAAATTCCAGTTATTTATATCGAAATAATTAACGAACTAAAAATAGTTTTTAAAATTGTGCCACAGTCGATTGTGCCTTAAACATGTTATGAAGAATTTAAATGTTTTTTCAAAACATAAATCTAAGTATTCTTAGGAACAGCACGTTTGAATTAGAAACATAAGATTTTGTACAAAAATAGATCCTATATGCGTTAAAAAGAAGAAGAAAAAATTAATTATCCAAATAGATATTTTTTTCTTATGGTAAAATGTATGTTTAAAAAATTGTAGCTTAATATTAAGATTTAGCGAAAAATTGCCTATACAATGCGCCTTAATAAACGCTAGAGTAGAGGCCCCGTATTGGAAAGCGATTGCTTTGTATATTAATCCATAGTTATTATTTTAAGCATTACTCAAATTGTTTTATCCGGCATACCGGATATAAGTGCATTTTTACCATTTTAATTTGAACGATATTTTTAATGCTAAAAAAAATATTTTGAATAGTCATATTATGATTCTCTAATTTCTCTTTCTTAATTTAGGTAACTTTTAAATTACAATTTTTTTTTTCAATATGTAGGTATATTGGTTAAACAAAAAACAAATTTGTTTTTTTTTAAAACCTAACGGTTAACGAATTTTATAACTATTTACGAACAAAGTATGTGTCATCTTTAGTAAAACCATCGTGGATCAATGATCATCAGTTTAATGTGAATTTTGTATTTGTTTTAGATTACTGATTATATTTGATTAAATTACCCATTATATTTTATATGTGTAATACCTGTTAAATTTTGATAGAAAACAATTTTTGCTGTCAAGTTTTTCAGAATAAATATAAAATATATACTGTAAGTTATCATTGTAAATAAAAATTAAATTAGCACAATGTACAAAAATAAAAAAATTGTGCTAATATATTTAATTGTTTAGAATAAATATTCGAAATTTCGAAAAAAAGTTCAAAGTATGGGTAAAATTTGTTTTGTTGATTTTATACGACAAAATCCAGGTTTAACGGCATCAGACAATTAGGATATAAAATAAATATTTTATTTTCAAGTTTTTTATTACTTGCTCATTTGAATACTTTGTAGTTTTCTGTTTGTATTCAAACACTGATTTTAAGTATGTGTTTTCATCCCATTTGCAAGATATTTTTTATTCATATAATCATTCTTTTCAGATTCACATCACTGATTAATTGTACAAACTTGTAATATGTAATAAATAAATTATACGAGGGATATTCTCTCCCCATCTTACCTATTTAACGCCCTTGGAAACTTAGATTAGTTTACTTCGAGTTCGAGTCATCAATTATAAAATATTATTAAATAAATGACATTCCACACAGTGTCATCTTTACCCTAAAGGCACGTGGGGCACGAGCCCAGGGCACCAGGTCTGATGGAGGCCCGAATAATTTAATTTACATAATCTTAGACGGCCCTGTTTCCAAAATACTTAAAAATCATAATTATGGTCATTCAGTTTCCGAAAATTCAATTATGCTATGCAGAGTATTTTTTTTTTATTTCAACCTGTTTAAGATAACTTAGAATTTGTAATCTGGAAAAGGTATTATTTAAACATTGTTACGCGAATGGTTATCAAAAATATAGATTCAGTTGTCAAAGTTTCAAAAAATTCAACTTATTATAAGAGTTTACAGTTACAAAATAGATTTTGGATATTAATTAAGAACTTTAGAGTAACTTCATTTGTTTTTATAACCCGTTAAATTAATAAGTACTATACTTTTTAAAAGCATTCCGGTAGATATAAGTAATTTTTTCAAAAACTGAATTTAGAAAAAATGATTTTGTTAATTTATTTGAAAAGTATTAAGTATTAACTATTTAGGATATTTAATTTGTGGACGGTGATTCATTTTTTTATCAGACTATTGTAGTCGATAGCGTTCATTAATAACGATTGTTTAAAAAACATTCTCTCGCTTCACGGTACAACTTGTTAAACATTTAAGAATTAAGTAGATAAGTAGAAAATATTTTTTTAGCTTTTTGTAAAGACCAGAACTTGGACTTTGTCCTCTTCAAGTCATTATTTAAGTTTTAAAATATTATACATTTTTGTAACTTAACAGTTACTGTATACAAAAAAAAAATATTCGAGAATAAAACAATACAATCATTTCACAACATCTTGTTTATAATTATATGATAAAAGTGTTTAAAGATGTTCACAGAATGCTAAACCTTATTTTTTATGCACGAAAAAACAATCATCTTTAGTTGACCTCCAAACAGTCTCAAGCTGATTATACCGTCAATGTAATGTGTGTCTTTAAAAAGTACCAAATGTCGCGGTGTACGCGAGCGCTAGGAGGTTAAGAGTAACTTTTAATTAAATTTTTTATCTCGAGAATGCCCAGCTTTGCAATTAATAATAATAATAATAATAGTTATAATAACAGCGATAATAATAAAAACTAATGTGAGAGCTAAAAAAAGTAATAAATAAATAATTGACACGGCCAACGGACTATCGGAGACGGCTTCCGCAATCGTTTTGCTGTTGATCGCTTTCTTTTCGTATTGCTCACTGCCGCCGCCGACACGGACCGGCCACGGCCGCTGAGTGCCTGATCAGCCGCGTCACCCGCTTCGCACGCACCGCCACTCTAACCACGTCGTCGCGACGGCCCGTCTTTGGTTTTATTTGGCCGTCAGTCGAGTGGAGTCGATCGTACCGTGCGGTCCGCTGCTAAGTCGTTTTCTGCGTTCGCGTCTCACGCACGCCACACCCGCCGCACTTGTCCGTTCGCCCTCCCCCCGCGCTAGCTCGAAAACGTAGTGTTCTCAGTTCTTCTCTGCTCTCGCATATTTATTCCGTGTCATACACGTCGTCCCCGTTATCTCCGTCGCGCGCCATCCGCTCTTCCGAGTGCCGTCCGGGTCGCGTTCGCAGCACTGTTCCGAGTTTTATTTATTTTATTTTAATATTACAAGCGTATGTAAATAGTGTGTTAAGTCCGAGTAATAAAAAAAAGTCGATTCGCGAGTTTCGTGTGTAAGTTTCCCGGGCGACGTCCAACACGATCATCACTGTACGGACCGCGACAACAAGAGGAAACTCGCGCGGAAAGTGGAATACGCGTCGCGTAGAACACCGTTAACGGACATCGCTTACCGGCCGTCTGACCTGTGAGTTATCGTTAATTCTTTTGTAGCTATTTATTACAAAAACTTACGTCAAATAACTCATTCTTCCCAGTCGTTTCGCGCAAAGTTTTATTTCCATACACTCGCTCTTGGCATAGTTTTTGTTTCTCTTTGGCAGTCTTTTTAAACATTTTCTTTCGAGACTTAAGACGTCGATTAAAATATTAAAATACGTATATTTAAATACTTTTGGAAAAGTGTGTTTTACAAGATTTCCTTTTGGTAGTATAAGCGTTTTCGGATGAGTCTATTGAGCTTTTTTTATAGCTTTGCCCAACGACATTCGAATGTTGTTAAGTCTCTTTATATCAATTAGAAAACAATGATCTCCCGATAATCATATCTAAATTACTCGATGTCGATGGTGATTTTGTTTTTTTGTTTGCAAATCAAACTTGTTACTTGCTCACACCGAAGAATAATTAGGCTAATCATATGGTAACGTTGGCTGTGCTTAAACCCTCAAACTAATCACACTGATTCTATATTAAAATTTTGTATACATGTTTTCTTTTGATGAAAATTTATTTGAATTGCAGTCTGTAATAAGTGTTAATTAATTTGAAAACGTTTAACCCTTTCTATAGATTTTTCTCTAAAAAAAAATCCGCTTTACACCTGTTTGCATTGCCGCATCGTAAAAATCACAATTGTTAAAGAAATGATTATACATAACTCATAAAAAATAATTTTCAGGTTAAATTTTTTTAACAGACTTTAGTTGACTTGTGAAAATGTCGTTTTAATCTCTCTTACTATATAATCGCTTTACATTATTAACTAAAATCTTGTATTATTATTTTAAATTATTAAACATTTGGTTTCTTTACCGGATTAAATATTAATTAGAAAAAAAAACATAAAAAATATATAATAGGTATTTATGTAAATATTTAATATAAATGTTTGTGTTTCCAGTTTTACTGGCATTACAATTCGATTGGTTAAATATGCTTATTACAGGGTGATCAAATTTAACGTAAGACATTAAAATTTTCTCGGAAAATGAAATTTTGTAGTTCTTCTATTTAGAAACATTTTTATTTATATTTATATTATTAAAATATTTATAAAATTATTAAATGTTTACCCCTTTTGGTATTTTCCGGAGCTCTATTAACTTTTGAAACTTAAATGGAAACGTATATCATACATTTTAATTGACCTTTTTGTAATAAGAAACATTTGCTGACAATTTTGACTGGTCGATAACCGGGTACTTGAATGTTCCTTTATTAACGGTAATTATCTAAAACTGGTTATCGAACAGTCAACATTATTAGCAAATTATTCTTAATCCAACAAATTTATTAAATTTATACGTTACCATTGTATTACGTTTTGAAAGTCAATTGGAGTTCTGGAAAAAATAAAAAAGTATATACAAATTGGACTATTGTAAAATAACAACTACTAAAGTGTTTCAAAACTGCAATTATTTTAATTAAACATTTGAGTGACTCACGTTAAATTGATCACCCTGTATAATGCTGACGAATTTGTTTTCGTTCGACGTGACGTGAACGATTGTTTAATGGAGTTTTATTTTTTCGATATTATCTACAATGGTAATAATAATAATAATAATAATAATAAATATAATTTTTCGTCCATTGTAAACACAAACGTTATCTTTCTCAAGTTGATCTCGGCCGGACATTTCGATGAACCGGTCCGTTAATCGGTTTTCCGATTAAAAAAATCACATTACACAGACGTCTGGTTAATCGGTCGAGTGTAATATTTCGCCGGGTTTAATAATAATTGAAAACTTATCAACACACAATGCAGTAATGCTATTTTATACCCTCGTGGTATTTTGATAGCATTTTAATGTTTCAAGTCTAGTGCACAAAAATAAATGGTGTGTTCCAGAAATACATTTGGACGAATCGTCCGGAATATTTATGTTTTGTTTAATTCAATTTTCTACTTGCTGCGAAATTGTCGTCAAACAATTAGACTACAACTACAAACAAAACAAAACCACTCTTGAAAAAATACATTTTATAGAATAACCAAACCCATGCATTATATATTATAATATATAATATATAATAAGACAACTAATTATAAAAATAATAAATAAATATTTCAACAAAAACTCAAAGAAATGATACTATTTCATTATTATTTGAAAAAATATCCAAATCAAAATTTAATTAAATACATTTTTGATTTAATCTCTAAATCATTTTTCTGCGCAATTAAAGAATAATCATAGTTAAATAAAAACAAACGATTTGTACAATTTTATTATTATTTGAACAAATTTAAATAACAAATAAAATATAATTTAAATTAATTTTTAATTTTTAACTAAGGTAATTTTGTATTTTAATAAAAATGAAAATAATAGTTGACATTATCAAATTGTTCAAATAATTTTTTTAAAAAATGTACTAGAGTAACTTGTCGTTTTTAAATGAATATATTTTGTTATTTTTATAAAAAAAAAAATGCTCAGGTTCGGGTTGAACCATTGAACTATTTTAGTATCAAATAAAAGTGTATCTAAATAAAATATAATTCGAAGTTCTAAATAATTGATTTCAAATAATTTGTTATTTCAAACGGTACACGTATGTTCTAGTTTTCCAACTAACACGTATTTCGAATAGCTCGTTATTTGGAAATTATTATTTGTTATTTAAATAAAAATTGCTCAGCTTCGACAAGAACTATTATTATTATTACATTATTATTACTATTATTATTATTATTACAGCCAATGACACAAGGGAACGTATTGAATAGGCGACACACCTGTTGCCGGCCGAGCTTTTATATTTCTCACTTCCGGTCCGCTGCTCCTTCGCAAAGATTTCATAAGTAATTTAAAATGATATAACCTAACCGCCGCGCCGACCCGTTAATTTTAATACATGCTTTGCACGCCAACAGTCTTCTTGCCATCGCCGGCATAATACAATAAAACAATATCATTACATTATAGGTCAAGTTCTCGGATCGATGGGTTCAATGAAAATATAATACCGCAACGCTGTTTGCAATATTGAATTAAAAAAAAAAAAAAAACTCTTAAAAGATACACAATATACCATTGCGATTTGAACTAAACAACTCCGCCGTAAGAGATACTTTACTCGTTCATTATTTTTTAATTGCTTTCTCAATAAAACCGAGCGGTCGATTGGTTTTTTATTTAAAATTTTAACAAGCGTGTACATATTTTATCGAGTGTCTTTATATAAGTACATAACAGTTTTGATACAATTAAATTTATCAAACGAGAATATCGATTGCGACTTAAACTCAAAAGCTTTTCGGCGTGTATCTAAAACGGTCTAGACACAACACTTTCTTAAGAACCTTCTTCCTTTTAAGGTTTCCCGTCCAAGTACACATCAACATAATATTATGTTCTGACGACCGCCGGAATGGACGAACGGTTTATAATATGATAATGTTCGAATCAATAAAATACGACAGAACGTTCAATATTGTTGTGTTAATAGTGTAAACATATATATTTGTAGACCATTTTATTGTCTAAAAGATGCACTCTATGTCAATCCGTATCGATAACCTATTGCTAAAAGTATAAAAGGTCATTTAATACCCATCCATAGCCAATGATCTAACATTTATCTCATATTATTATCAATGGCTGGACGATTTATAGTAGGTCTTGCCAAATAGTTAAATTGCCGTTTATATAATAATTTAATTATGTACATTTGGTGTTGTACCAGTCTGATTACTCCGCCGAAAGAACCGTGTAAAAACTAGATAAAAAATGAAAATAAAAATAAAACTATGGTAAAAAAATTCGAAAAAACTTTTTCCCTATGCATGCACATACGGAATACAGGTCAACGGCCGCCACCCTCTTTATGTGGGTACATATGCTGTATACACTGTTTTTCCACATCTCCGACGCATACGTTTGTTGTGAACGCTAAACGCACTAAAAAATATATTATATAGAACGTGCACCGTTTGCACTTGGTTGGCTAGCAGACCATATTTTTCACAGGAGCAAGTCACTCGAGATCAATGTAAAAGTGTTGGTCGCGCAAGATTCATAACGACTTAATCTTAGATTCGTTGATTTAGTAAGAACTTTAGGTTTACACATTTATAGCGTACGTTCGCGTTTAGACGTATACAAGCTATTATGTAACAGAAAAATATCAACATTTTCCGCAGTTTTGTATACAAAAATAAAACAAAGAAAATAAATGTATTTAATAACACAATAAATCCGTAACCGGCAGCTGTGTTTACATTAAAAGATGCCGGTTTACATTTGAAGTCTTTTCTTGTTTTTCGAAGCGTATATGTTTTTTTAGGAAAACAGAAAAATATAGACATTAAATGTGTTTTCTCGTCGTTTCCATAACTGCTCGGAAAAATCTACAGCTCAAAAACCTCGTTGATTTTTTTTACTTATTAGTATTTGCATAACGAGCGTTTGAAGCGATAAACAAATCCGATAAATTGTGCAACGACTAATAATTATTATTGATACGATAACGCCGTCGGTTCGCGCGTTCGATGGCGCCCGTTTTAAGTTTGTCGATAATGAAAATTACAACAAAAAAAAAAAACCACTAGCGATGTGCCAATCCGTCTGTTTTCCATACCAACGAAGGGAAGGATATGAATTAAAAAATCCTCATCTCGTTTGCTCTTATCTCTCGCCTGTAACACCGCAGACTAATTTTCTTGTGGCGTGATCTTTGTTTCCGCGGCGTCATGGGAAGTTTTCAGGGAAAAAGGTATGACGATAAGGCGGGTTAAATGGAACTCCTCTCTCCTCGACCAGAGCGCGACGAATAGCGGAGATAGAAGCGCATTCGATCGCCGTACGGCCGCTTGTTGTTCTTCCCCCACGGCCAAACGGTATCCTCTGCCGAGATGAGGTTCTTCCTATCCCGTTACTCGCCCGCCCGCCGCACGCATGACGCCCTCGCCCTGTGAAATGGGGGCAACTTTTAAAAAACTCAATTAAATTG